TGGCTTGTGGGGCCCAAAGAGGGTGGAACGTTGTTTCATATCCTGAACAAAGCCACTGCAGGAGCGACTGTTGCATTGACGATAATATTCATGAAATCAAACGATGCGACTGTCGCTGAAAAGATCGATATCCCAGACACGGTTGCTCAGTTTGACTATGTGCGGCCAGACATTTTCCTGCTTCGAACATTGGCCAAACACTTGATAATGTGGGATTCTATTATCGCAAGCGATAGATGGATCAAGAACAATCTCCCATCTATTTATAAGCGTAAATATCGCCTTACGACAGTCCGTCATCTAAGCACTGATGACATGCCGTTTTTCAACATCATTACCGGCCTCTGTTTTGCTATTGGGCTTCGATTTGCCGGCTCTGGTGCATATCAAGCCCGCGACCTTCTTGTTTCCTATCTTGACCAGTTTAAACGTATAGCGCGGTTCACTGTGCACAACTACGATGAGAAGCTAACTCGAAATGCAGTTCGCAACTGCCAGGATATTATTGCATTATCTGCAGCAGCTGTCATGGCTGGAACTGGAGACCTCATAGTGTTTCGCCGTCTTCGATCACTTCATGGCCACGTTAGTGCAGATACGCCATACGGAAGCCACATGGCAGCACACATGGCTATCGGTATGCTGTTTTTGGGTGGTGGAACATATACGCTGGGTACTTCGAATCTTGGGATCGCAGCCCTACTTTGCTCCTTTTATCCCGTATTTCCCACCACTGTTCTTGACAACAAATGCCATCTCCAAGCCTTTCGCCATCTGTGGGTCCTCGCGGCAGAGCCAAGGTGTCTTGTTCCGCGCGACCTCGACACACGGCGTGCGGTAACAATACCGGTATCTCTGACGCTCAAAACAGGCGAAAGTCAGCTTACAACAGCACCATGCCTACTCCCTAATATAGATGATCTCGCTACTGTGAAGATACAAAGCCCGGATCACTGGGATCTGACTCTCGACTTTGCTGACAACCCGGGTCTCCGAGACAAATTCCGCTTGGGTGACCAATCTGTTTATCTCCGTAGGCGAGCTGTTTATACTGGTTCCTCTACCTCGGAATTTTCCTCATCCCTGATGGCATTGAGCGACGTCCAGGATATCCCTTCATCTTCCTCCCCTGGTTACTCTCGGGCAGTCAACACTACGCCGAATGCAGCAGCACCTATCTTGTATTCCCAAGGAAAATCATCGATTCAAGTCCGATTCCCCGCACGCCACCTCTGGGAGTGGATTTTCAATCTTCGCACCTTCCGACCTCTTGATATGGGTGACAAGGCGCTAGTGATACCCTCAGTACCATCTCAACAGCCTATTGAGATTTATGCCAGGGACCACTCCGAAATTATTATTTGGCCAGTTTCCTGGCTGCGTCCAAGTGCAGTGGATACGAGGCTCGTGCTTGAAAAGACGGTCCAGCATTTGGTGGACGCTGCAACTGGTCAAGGCGATGGGGATGATACGGTCAGGGATCGGCTGTGGCAACTCAGACTCCTTTTCGCATGGCTGGACTCAAATGATGACCGAACAAAACTCGCTACGGCAGAAAAACGCTGCAGGAAGACCTTCAAAGGAATGTGGCTTAGGGCGGATATTATTGAAGATGTTCGATGGAGGGTGTGGGGCGTTCAAGTTGGCGACAACGGCAACGGCGGACAGCACCTTGAGGATAACCGAGGGATGCCTACGTGACGGATGTGCAATTCTATTATTGATCAGAAATCCAGAATTGCCGGGTGTCCTCCGATTCCCCAACACCGGTCTCTAAGCATGAGCGGGAAGTGGGACGTATGCTTGCGTGTGGTTAATGGATGTGGTATATCTTCATTTTAAGTGAAAGTATCCCAACGACATGTCAATGGGTTATCACCTTTTGTATGTGTATATATAGTTATTCCGAGACAGTTAGCAGCTGTTAACTGCCCAGGGAGAGTTGCTTGATTGCTTGCTTGTCCATGAGAAAATTAAAATACCCACTGAGCGGATTCGTGCGTGCTATTTTGATAACATCCAGAGCTTCTCTGTACCGAATCTGGCCCCAAGATCCTGTCCCCAAAAATAGATAAAACAAGCCCGGTCAACAATGGCCAAATGCTCCTTCATACATTACATACTTGCCCATGGATAAATGCAGACCAAAAAAGCCACATAGGGCTGAGTCAGCCTGTCGCGCAGGATCATCCGTCCACGGGTCCCGGGCCGCCGGTGGATTTCCTAAAGCGGAATAACACGCCCACAGGCGAAGGCGAGGGCTGCGATTGATAAGATGGTCAACCTTGTGCTGTGCATGTACAACGGCCCCTCTGTGATCTCGCTCGCATGCTGATTCTCCGGGAAGACCCTAATTGAACGCGCTGATACCACCATATAGCCGCATTTGCTGAGACGGGGTCAACTATGGCGTTGATTTAGTCCTCACGAGGAAGGGAACCTCCCTGCAACAAGGTAGACAGATGATTTGCTGACGGCAGGTGGGGGAGTCTTGTTGTATTCCAATGACTCGGCGAGAGAGAAAGCAGTCCGAGAGCCGACGACGGACGGGCTGCTGGACATGTAAGGGTTAGTTCAATGTGTTTTTTTTACCCCTTGTTCTCTCTCATGCGATCATATCGTAGACTGAGGTGTGGGCCTGCCATTAGAAAAGCATATCCAATGCACCGAGGAATGGCCGGTATGTAGCCGGTGCGAACGACTGGGCGTGCGATGTGTTCGTGGCCTCAAATTGCTCTGGAGAGAGGATGCGGCTCAGAGGGGTATACACTTTGGTCGAGAAGGTTTGTTCTGACCTTTCAAGCCTTCTTCCCTCCAGGAAAACAATAGAGGAAGGAAGCATTCACTGACGTATAGCTCTTTAAAACTACATTGTTAGGGACATGGTCAAAACGTCCGACGACCAAACCGCGTACCAAAATCGGAATTGATCATGAATTCGATCCTGTCCCTTTGGACCAGTATATAGGTCGATGGCTATTTTTGAATACGACATACTGGGACTTTGGCGAAAGTGACGGGGAAGAAATACCCAAATGCTCGTTGGAGCAATTGGAGGAGATTGCCCAGTCGGTGAACGGTGTGGTCCGCTCCTCTCCATGTCGGCCTCTAGGCCATCCATTAGTGCATTATTGCCCGGTCGAGAGCTTCCTTCTTGATTATTTCATCCGGGGTATCGCACCTTTCTGCTCGCTCAGCACCGAATGCAACCCCTATTTATCGCTTGTCACGCCGCTGGCTTTGAATTATCAACAGCCCCATAAGCCGCTGAGAAACACCCTCCTTGCTATTGCTGCAAACCAACTTCAGCTCCTCGGCAACCACACGTATGAGAGGGAAGCATTTGTGTTCAAGCAGAAGGCGCTACATGGCTTACAGAATGAGATCAACAATAGAAAGCCAAGCGCTGGCACAGTCGCCACGGTCTTGATGCTCTGTTTCCATGATGCAAGTACACTGTGCTCTTTTCCTCCCTTTGGATGGCACTTCCAGAGAGCGCTTTTAATAATATTGACTTTAGATAACTGATGGATGCACCCCATCATGGACAACACATCTTCGTGGGGGTCTTCGGCTCATGGCAATGCTTCCACATCAGATGTGCGAGAGCGAGGCGCTGAAGAAGTTTTTCGTGATGTATTTTGTCGCTCATGACATTATGGGTCGAACGGGAGCTGAAGATTCCTCGGAGATGGGACAAGAAGACCATTCATGGCTGGAGGACGATGACCTTGAAGAGGTATGCCTATTTTGTTTGCATCGACAGGATAACAACTTGATTGATATCGTATCTAATTTTTCTTCGATTTATATAACGCTTTAGATTGACGTATTGATGGGTTGTTCGAGGGGATTAATGACCTTGATAAATAAGATATCTGCTCTAGCCTCAAAGAAATCAAAGGTATCATCTTCATCAAACGAATTTGTCACAGCACCGACGACAGACTTTGCATACTAAAAAAGCCTTGAAGGTCATGAAAACGCGTCGGCTTTCACCACAAGAAGTCTCGACTTTCAATGCGGCGAGGAATGCCATTGAGGACGAATTACGAGTTCTCCACCAAAAGCTACCAAGCTACGCCCCTTTCCAAGCAGACCTCTTACGTATTGCCGAAACAAAAAGACTCGCAGCGATCTTATATTTGCGCGAACGCCTGGGAAGTCCGGCTGGTCTTTGCTACTTTTATCCGCTTGAGAAGTTTAGTCGGCACCACAAGCATGACCCTGAGCATCGGTATAATAATACAGGAAACCCATCTCTCGGCAATCAGGTCACTACTTCAGGTGCCGTGGAGACGTCGCCCTCAGGATTCAAAGCCCGAATCATCAGCATGATAATAAGCCTGATAGATACGCTCCCCGACTCTCCTACACTGCTATGGCCACTGTTTATTGTGGGTAACGTGGGGTTGGATGATGAGCAGCATCGCCGTTTTGTGCTGGATAGATTAACGAGCATTCAGAAGACGCGCAATTTGGGCAGCGTTCGAAGAGCGCGAATGGTCGTTGAAAATGCATATCGTGCAAAGGATATTGATTTCCCGCGAGGCAAGGTTTGGGGAGACAATGAGCCAGGGGTGATTAGCTTGGCATGATACGTTCAAATCTTCTTTCTTCACCCCATGCAAGTGGTGTTCACTTCTTTTCGGCATTGCTGATGTTAGGATATTTTATTGTTGTTGCTCTGTTTGTCAGTTCTTGGTTGGGGCTCCTTACTACCTTATTTCTTCTCCCCCTTCCTTTTCCACTAAGTCCCTATAGAAAGATTCTATACTTGTAATCCTTTTTATATTTTAGAAAAGTCATTTAGTCACTTTACAGTCCTCCTTCCAAGGTTATTTGATAAGCGACAACTAAATAAAAATTCAAGGATATATATACTTGTTAAACAGCAGCGTATATCCTCCCCCTATTCTTGTATTTTCATGCAATTGTGTAATTTTTTTTGGTGGCGTTGTGGCATTATCTTATGAAAGAAAGGTATACGGGACGAGTAGTTTCATGACGATGCTGTAATGATACATGATGTAGCCCCTAAATCTGAAGGGCCTAGATTACGGGGTGCGTATGTTTACGTCAAAGGCGCTGTCACAGGTTTTTTAGTGAGTCCATGATCGATGCTAGTATCCGTGCTTAGCATTAGATTCAGATCCACTATGCACACAATTGTTTTAATTTCATAACTATCCATCGCCATGATGTCATGTTTTGTCAACCGTGACCCTAGCATTGCTAACCAAGGGAAAACTCCCTATCAGTTTAGCCCGTTCATCCATGTCGTATACTTAGAATTATGCTGCTGGATATCAGTCTCATCTTGGGAAAAAAAGAGTTTGTTCGTCATATTCGGAGCCAGGGTTCTCGCAGCTGCGTTTGTTGGCGCAGGTGGCCAAAGCCTAGTAGCCAGCCATTAGAGCGATACTGGTACAGTAACTTGCCAGCAATATCGATGAAACCACCGATGTATTCTGGCGCCTGCGATTCGCGGAAAGTTTGGGGTCCAATCAAGTTTCCTTCCATGGGGGTTAGCATTTGTGTGAGAACGAGATAAGTACCTTCCATTGGGAGAGGATAGGCGTGGCGAAATGACATGACGCACCGACGCAACGACGCAATATCCGATGTGCAGGATTGAATATTGCTTCGTGTGGTCGGCAGTGTTTTGTCTTCGCTTGGGCGAGGGAGATGCCTTGATGGAAGGTTGCAAGATCATGTGTTTTCTGTGTAGAGCCCCACTCGGAAGATGAGATTTAGGGGGTGGCGAAACTTCGAGCTGTCGGGATTGTTTATTTCCCTCCGCTCGGAACATTGACTGACAGGTTGAAAGAAAAGAAGCCAAGTTTTCGGCTAGACAATTGCTTTCACCGCCTGCGTACACTTCCAATACTTGTTGGCTATTCCCGTTCTGTGGTCTGCCAAACGCTAGACTGCGTGATATTGCTCCTGTTCGCTGAGGAAGGAGGGGTTCATGGGGGGGTCAGGCATGGCAAGGGCAGCAAACACTGACCACCACTATAGGCACTGAGCCTATATATTGACATTAACCAACCTCCTCACAGCAATCATCGCGAATCCCTGAGACTTTTTCTCTCTGTTATAAGAAACAGAGACTTTTCCATTTTGCTAAACCAGCAGAGTCTGGAATGTGTCCCATGCATGGCCCATGAGAGGAACCCATTGATGACAGAACTTGCAGCGGCATACGAGGCATTTCGCCGAGGTTGCTCGCTCTTTTATAGAAGCCTGCAATTATGAGAGAGCTACCAGGGACTTATTGCCGCCTCCAGGAAACCTGTCAAACAGAATCAGTCCAACCCTATTTCGCAGGGAAAACACAGAAGCTCGAGGAAGGCCATCTTGCTATGCCAGCGGTTAATAATGGCTGGACGCACCGATATAAAAACCCAGTATTAGGAGGCCTGTAGAGGATTTGCAAGTCGATATCAACAATGCCATCAGCGATCAACCCATTGAGCAGACGCAGAGATAATTGGCGGACTGGAAGCGCTGCACTAGATAGGATGAAGGCCGCATTCCAACAATCACTTTCAAAGATGGTCAGATATTGTCCGAGTTGTGCATTCTCTGGCCAAGTCAGCATGCACCAATGGGGAGAATCGACCCCGCTCAAGCAAATTCTTGGTCTTCCGATTAAGGTCTTCCCTTAAGACATACAGCGCTGATGTGCCTAATGCCACCTTGTCGAATGCTCCGAGAGTCGCGGTAAGTAAGAGCTGAGAACACGACTCTGTTAGTCAAAGAGAGCTCCATGTATGCAGCAGGAAGAAAGAGTGTCATTTCCTAGCTCGGCCATTCCAGAAAAACTGAGCTGACTAACCATTGGGATCAGGATCCCATCAAGCTTTCGCACCATTTCCCTCTCTGCTTGAGGTATCGATGGCGGATATTACCCAGCTTGATACAGATAGACTACCGCCTGATCTACAGCTGCCTCATCAAGATTCGTCTGGTGAGCAGCGCCGGGTGTCTCATGACTCTTCGATTGCACACCTTCCATTTTCATTGCCAAAAATTCTCATATAAAAAGCTGGGTCTGAAAGAGACTTGATGCCAAATTTTGATGGAGGCTTTGCTGGAGGATGCGGAGTGATATGCGCCTTATCATGAACCGTAACATGGAATCGCCGAGATGGAACCTTGCTCTCTCGGATGAATGCATGGTAGCATCAGTTTCTGCTGTCAGCAGAACCTTTCATGGCCCGAGGGGGTCGTGAAGTCATTTGGAATTGTTTTTTCTTCCTAGCACCGGAGATTACTTAGGTCTCCACAGATACATGGATTTTGTGATTGCAGTAATAAGGCTAACCGTCGCCGGCCTTGGGACGCCGGGAATTTTCTTTTTAAACAGCAGCAATATAACGAGTTGCATACTGAACTGGTGTAATTATGGAGCATGCATATCTGCATAACCATACGCCGATAATCAAGGGTTGAGAGCAATAATATAGCTGGATAGGAATTGCAGTACCCTCAACCTTAGCAATACTGGTTCTTCGGGCTCTGGTTAATGCGATGATAACTCAGGGATATCAAATACCCCCATGTCGCGGGATTTATTTAGCAAAGAATTAGCGAAGAGTTGAAGCAGTTGAAGCCATGTCGCAGGAACAAGTTACTGGAAATCTATTGCCAGCACTCTCGTATCTGGCTTCTCTTCCGATTGGATTCTTCGCAAGGGATTTTATACTCGGGCGCAGGAGGCGAAAGGATGCGTCTCATCGCAGCCGTGAATGGCGTTTCAATCCTCTCGTCGCGCTTATTTGGATAGCCTTTCTCCTTTACGAGCGTATCGACTTGCGTTAGTGCGAGACACTAAGCGTTAGTTGTCGTGGGAAGTCCAAATGTGATATATATCACGAGCAAAATGAACAGTAACCGTGATCCTAAGGAAAGCCGAATTTCACATCTGCTGTGATACAAACTGCTACTGGAAAATATACATATTGTGTCCGGCGAAATGGCTCACTACACCTCCTAAGCGTGATAGCCACCACTCCAGGGTCTCACAGGCTCTCTTGGGCGCAACGATGGCCCTGATGATCGAATCTGTTTTGAATTTGTCAAACAGAAAGTTCACGAAGTAACGATGCCTACGAAACCGGTGGCCAAAATCAACGATCTTGCCAACTGATACATATTTCCATCCCCCCCGGAAGGCCCGAGATTTAGATTACGACAGTGATGGGCGGCGGAATTGGAAAGGCTAATAAATTTAGCTAACTTAGACGATGGGCAAAGAGCAGGGACTTCTAGGGCTTTGGCCATGATTGCTTTTGAATACAATCGTACAACAAATGGATTTGGCTCCGGATTGAATGTTACATGGGAGACTTTGTGTATACACTTGAACACCGCAAGCGTAGGACTGTGCTCCTATATATATATAGGAAATTTTAGGACCGGGTTTCTCCACTGCAGAGTACTTGACCGAAGTTCTCCCTATACCTAACGAGAGCTGTTTCGTTCGCCTGAAGGCCGCAGTAATTGGAAAACGAAAAAATATGTTTAGGTGATGTATGTATACTATGACAAGATGCTCACACAACTTAACATATATTTGGGTTTCTGCTGCCCAAACATCGGACAGTGTAACGATTATGCTTTCATGTCGGGAAGTAAACTGTAAATAGAATAGATATCCTGTACAACATATAGACATAAATCTGGCAGAGACATCTCGTGTGTACAGGTCGATTTAGCTTCCAAATTGTTTTAGCTTAGGAGTTAATGCTTGCCCCCAGGCCTTCACCCGCCCCAATTCTAGTTTCAATCCGTTTCGTTTGATTAAACGCAGAAAATAAATTAGCTACAGATATCGACACATCTCCTTGATTCCCCCGTTAACCAGTCCTTGGTCCTTCCCTGCTTGAGACGCGTTCATAACATCAAACACCATTGCCATTCCACTCGCCAAATGCCACAAGACATGGCAATGAAATAACCAGATTCCTGGATTATCAGCACGAAACCGGAGGACGGCATGGCCCCGTTGGGGTATCTGCACTGTATCTCGTAACAGAGCTCTGGAAAGATCTTGGGAGGTGGGTTGGTATTGCTGATGCTGTTGATCGGGGTTGAACGGGTTGTACGAACCCCAGCCGCGAGATGCGGAATGGAGAGTGACAACGAAGAAGTTGTGGCCGTGCTATTTTGACCGATATTAGTGTACTATCGATACTTGGTTATCGTAGAAGGCTGACGAGAGGGACTGGGTTGAGGTTGGAGGTATTGGGCGGGGGAGGGAGGGAGGGACTGAGGCGAAAAACACTTACGAGGTGAAACGGATGTGCTCCCTCGTCCAGATTGTTAACGACAAGATCAACCCAGGCAGGCTCACTCCCTGTGGAAATTGCGAACTGGTTTTTATCCCAATGGCGTGGATCAAGGGCGACGAGAGGGTATGGAGGGTCTGATTGTGGGCGCCATGACGTGTGATTAAAATAACCAAATGGCACGTTTTGGTTCTTGGACATCTGGGATATCTTTGTATATATTACATAGGTCCGCTGGGCTTCAGGCGGAAGGCCGGAGAGGAGAGTCGATGAGGAGGATATTTGAGTGAGGTTAATGTGCGCATTTGATGGGAGATATAAGGGTTGTGGATTGTATGGTTTGATGCTATTAGGGTTTGTGCTATATATTGGAAATGCTTGGACAGAAGAAAGTGCTGGGTTGGGGTATTTGAAGCATCTAAAAACTGTCAGTTGGTGGAAGAAGAGAATACCTTTCAAGTGAGGATTGATACTTACTCAGGATCCAACTCCACAGTCAGAGAGGATTTTGCTCGGGTGTTCTGAGGATGTCGTAGGATGAAATCTACTCGTTGACCGGGATATACGACGCCAATGGACTTTGAATTGGATGTCCTTGACTGCATTAACTGCTGCGCCTCCAAGCCTCCGTCAACGTGGGTGAGGCGTATATACCCTTGGGAAAACCGAAGAGAAACCCCGGCAAGAGATCTAAATACCTACATTAGAGAAAGTATATTCCCTGCGTAAGCTCCAGGAAGGGTTCCCACCCGGTATTCACGACTCGGACTCGGTATGACCAGGAAGGGTCTACTATAAGATGAGGCATGAGATTCTCACTGGAACAATCAATAGGACGCGCTGGGACTGCCATGGCGCAATCAAAGCGACCGGCTCCATTGATGAGAATAGAATCCGGCACAGGCTGAAAAGCATTAACATGCTATTAGCTTTTTATCTAGATTTAAAGATGGAGGGGATAATACTTCATTCCCGTATGATGCTGCTCTCATGTACCATTTCAGGACATCGTTCGCTGGCCTATGGTACCAGTCCCCAACTAGCAGGAGAATTTCTTTTTGATAATCATATTTGAGAATATCTGATTCTGTGCTCGGGGATTGGATTCCTCGAATGGCTTTTGTGGTAGGACGATGGATCACTAATCCACCGTAAAGTCCATCTGCTCTCTGCAGGCCGGAGTGAGCATGATACCTAGGATGACACTAGTTGGTCTGCTGCGAAAAGAATACATGCACATATATAGCTAACGTATGATATAAACATACCAATACGTTCCACTCTGCGAATCGGAGATGTTGAAATCATAGAGAAAGGACTCTCCGGGGTTAATAGCACACTGCGTTACCCCTGTTGTGCCATCCATTCGGTTTGCATCTTAACTATGTTAGAATCGAGAACCTCTGTCACATTATTCGATGTATAGAAGAGAAACACCTCTCATATGCAGGCCATGCCAATGCACCGAAATACCCTCGTCCTCTAAGCCATTTCTTACATCAACGATCAGACGGTCTCCAGATCGCGCCTCGATGACAGGGCCTGGAAAGTGACCTAGTCAAAAAATGGCTGGATGTCAATCAATCGAACACCCGCGCTAGTGGCATGGTCCCAGATCCGAGCAAGGATAGCACAGCAGACACACCATTGATCACATAGATGCGTTTCAGCACACCATCTGGACGGAGATAAGCTGCAGTTACCGTCCAGTTAAGGCGGATTGTCGTCACCGGCCGATGAATATGTGTTTCGGGATGCAGTTTCTGACCAATATCGGAGTGAAGCGACTGCTCCACAGCCTGGTTTTCGTGCGCAATGTTCGGAGACTTTGGGACACCCAAGAAACTTACCAGCAAAATTAGGAAGATGATGACAGATGCCAAGCAGCTCCTTGACAAGGTCGTTCTGTCACTCGTCGTATCCGTTCGAGATAGCTCTGACGAAACTCTTGGAGGATCTTGGAGTTCATCGCGAGGTTTGCGTATCCTCCTCCGACTGGATGTTCGTTCCATGCGCGACCTGTCTTAAAGCCGATGGAGATGGAGCGCAAGAGCCAGGGTTAAAACAAAGCATGCAGTTACACACGCACCACGAACACACGCAGATGATGAATCACTTTGTTTGAGAGAGTTTGGTGGTTATTAGCTGCCCTTTTAACTCTTCTCTGAGGAATTGGCTTTCCTGCACCGCCACCAGAGCAAGCATCCCGTCCGGGATACAGAGCTTCCTAGCTCTCTTGGAAAGGGTTTCAGAATGGACCTTGTAACCAGGTTCTTCAGTATGCTTGCCCCCGGTACAAATGATTATGGTTGATGAGTGGGTCGCCGAGGCCGATATACAAGGTCTTCCTTCTGTTTTGAAGATGATGGTGAATTTAGATTTGTGCTGTTCTCCAGACTTTATAGTTATTTCTATCTTTTTATTTCTTTCGAATCCATGCTCCCTCTTCAACACTCGATAGCACACTGCTTCGGGAGATGGCTGCCCGTTTTGTGAAAATAGGATTAGCTGTTACTGCAGTATGTATAGTTTCTTGTCCGACATTTGATATTCCGATTGCTGACTATGGGTTTTTACCATAACTATAGCTAGCTCTCTTATTAACGGCAATCTTTTTGATTCTATTTATTGACCGACGTGAAGTGGCCCGAAGTTTGAAGGACATCGACCATGTCATCATCTTTATGCAAGAAAATCGGTCATGGGATACAGTATGCTCTAATCAACATCCACTGATATCCATTACGCGAATACTAACTGGCTCGCAAGTATTTCGGGACAATGGCGGGTGCAAGAGGTTTTAATGACCCCAACGTACAGGTCAACCCGAATGGGCTCCCCGTGTGGTACCAGTGATTCTCCCTCCACCAGTATAAGGAGAAATCTTGTATACTTACCTTTATTAGACCAGTTGACTCGAGCATGTCAAATGTCACAGAAACCCTTCTTCCATGGTACTTAGGGTATCTGGGCGGAAACTGGTCCCAAGCCATACAGTGCATGAGTGCTGGAAGCAATGGATATAGAGAAAATCATGCGTCAATCAACGGTGGACTCAATAATGGCTGGGCAAGGAACAATACACCGTGGAGTTGGGGTTATCTAAACCGGCATGACCTCCCCGTCCAGTTTGCCATTGCAGAAGGCTGGACTGTCGGCGATATGTATCAAGTATGTGTTCCCCTCATCCTTAATAAAACAGCATTGGAGTCTCATAGTGAGATAGGAATCGCAAATCACTGCAACAAACCCGAATCGAGTCACCTTAGTGAGTGGAAGTATCAATGCACCTGGCAGCCCGCAGACGCCAGATGAAGGCGGCGTATATATAGATAATAACGAAACCCCGGGTGAGTCGTTTTGGCAAAACTCTACCCCGTGATTGAATTGTTTGAGCTAAACTAAGCGATTAGGATGCGAGTCTCCCAATCTCAACTGCTACCCTCTCAAGTGGAAAACGATATTCGACATATATGAAGCTGCGGGCGTTTCTTGGCAGGTATACCAAGGAGTGGACAACTTTGATGACAACCCCTTGGCCTGGTTCGAGCAGTTCCAGAATGCACCCCCAACCTCGGCGTTGTCAAAGAAGGGAATGGCGTATTTGGGACTAGATGCCTTTTATGCAGATGCTGCTTTAGGTACCTTACCACGAGTTAGCTTTATCGTCGGCCCGCGAGAACTTTCCGAACATCCGCCATATTCTCCTTCTGATGGAGGCTGGTTGCAGTACAAAATTTTGGATGCAGTGGTAAGAGGGCCAAAGTATGGTAAAAGTGCACTTCTGATTAGTTACGATGGTACATGTTCTTTCCTCTCCGCCGTTCGAAGGTAATTAAATGTATCAAGCTGACCGTGCTCATAGAATCTGGTGGTTGGGGCGACCATGTTCCTCCTTACCATTCCCCAGAGAACACGACCGGTGAATGGCTGGAAGATCCGTATAACCTTTTTGGAAATATCTACACTGGCCCTGGTTTGTGCTCTTTTCACATACTGTCAACTCAAAAATGCGCCGTCGCGAGTAACCCAACCTGTTACTAATTTAGAACTAATAATAATAACAATATCAGGAGTTCGAGTCCCTTTCTATATCGTTTCCCCTTGGACTCGCGGGGGACGCGTCTTTACCGAACACGCTGACCACAACTCGCAAATCCTTTTTATCGAAGAATGGCTCACCGCCAAAGGTTACAATAACGTCAGGACAGACGAAATGGTTCACTGGAGAAGGCAGAACATGGCTCATCTCCTTAATGCACTGGACTTCGAAAATGTACGTCCCCGAAATACACCTGCAGGAAATGACACATGTTTTTTATATACAATCCCCTTTGCTTAACCGCCATGTGATATTTATACATAGCCCGACCTCTCCGTACCAGACATACCAAGACCGAAACAACCCCACCGCAACTCCCGCGGCGAATTCGACGGTTCCGCCTTCTGCGAATCACAGTTCCCGGACCCACGACCGCCTCCCCCATATTCCTCGCAACCCAGCACACTCCCCAATATCGTCGAAGAAGGGTATAAGATATGCGTTGGCCAACTGACCGAGGGCCGCTATCTTGTTTTCGAAAATGAAGACGGTCGTCTGCTAGCGCACAACAGCACCACATCAGACATCAACGATCATGACAACACACAGCCGTCACTACTAACGACAATGCCATCGTCGCAAGAGCCCTCGAATAGTAGTAATAACGCAGAAAACAAAATGAATAGATACCGGCCCCGGAATGCGCGGTGGGTCATCTATTACTACAACAATAACAGTACCGATATTGCAGTCATCGCGACGAACCAGTCTGGTCCGTTTTTGGTGTCAAGTTTTGATAAGAGGGTGTGGTTAGCGCCGGGGGGAAGGCTGGTTTCTTCGAGGGCGGGCGCGGCGCCGGTGGATATTTTATTTTTTGCAGGGAACAGGGAAGGGGAGAAAAGGGGCTATTCGATATCGTATCCTTCGCGTGGCAGTGGTGATGATAACACTGGTAGTGATCCTGGGTATATAAACGTCGATGGGGTCGGCAATGTCTTTGTGGGCGAGAAGAGGGAAACATTCAACGTGGTTAGTGTTACATATTATGATTAATGACGGTATGCATGGGGGGGGGGTTTAATAACGGCGTTTGGGGAATTGAATGTAGCGATTTTCGAGGTACCACCGAGAAGACATGGAGTTTGATTTTGGAATGCTCGGGAACATGCTACCATGATAGCAAGGGAAACAAACGTGTGGGAAAGTGAATGTTCTGATTATAATAATATACTTTTATCCTTAGTGGAAACCAAATTTTGAAGCCACTGACAGAGTGAGCGGATCGAGAAACTATACAGTAGCTAGCAACCACTAGTTATTGTTAGGCAAGTAGCTCTCCATTTTTGACTGGTTGTTGCAGAACAGAAGAATCAATGATCTCGGCTTGACTTATTTATTGCAGTACAGTAAATAACACTTGCGAGCTAGGTGCACTATCAAACATGTCGCCATGTGAGATAGTGTGGCAAAAGAAGGTCCCGTACTTGTCTGCCTCCGCTACATTTTTACAATACCGCGTTGAACTAACATTTGTTTTACGTCATGGAATTAGACTTCCAAAGCTGATGTTGGCTGCACAGTATCATCCATCATATGAACGCAGGATATCCTTGGGGAAAGCCCATATCGCCAGACTGGGATTCTTCGAATCAAGTAGCCTAGTTGCAACACCACCAATTCCTAAACAACAGCCTCGTGCTTCGGCTCCTCTTCGTCAATTTGGCCGACGGGAAGTTGTCGCGGCAAGGCAGTAGGGGCCGTACTAGCTTTGCGCGGATTAGGCGCTTCAAACACCTCATCAAGTTCTTCCAGCGTGCGTCCGTTCGTTTCCACGTAGAAGAAGTAGATAAACGCAAACTCGAACAGGTCCCAAAAGACGAAGAATACATAGAACCAATATCTGATCTATTGTGTTTATTGTTTGTTAGCTTGAGAAGGGTGGAGAAGTCAGAGGGTAGAGCATGTGTGGAAGACCTGGGAAAAAAAAAGGGGGAGGGAAGTGGTTACTCACATTCTTCAACGCAACCGGTGCCGCAAAGGTATTGACAAAGCCCGCTAGGCCAGAAGTAAGCTGGGAAACGCCCATGCCCTTGCCTCTCATATCATTTGACATAACCTCCCCGGGATACACTGGTTGCATCGAGGTGAACGCGAACGCAAACACCGAGCCAAATAAATAGATAAATGCGATCGAGGCGGATGAGGACGATCTGCTTCCAGTGTTGATGTAGCCGGCAGCCGTACCTGCAGCAATTGCAAGGCAGACTGCCATGCCCGCGGTACAGCCTAGCAACATCTTGCGCCGCCCGATTATATCGTGGCAGCGTGCCCCAACCATTGCTGGGATCCAGCCTGTGATGGCATAAACGATGTTGAGGAGGAGCTTGGTGTTGGTATCGGCTACTCCAACGTTTTCAAGGAGGTAAGGTAGGTAATACGATGCAATGCTGGAGGATGAGGTCTCAAGTGTCAGCCAAAAAAAAAAAAAAAAAAAAAAAATTCCAAGACAATCTTATGGAGAAGGATTTTTTCCTTTCCCTGGGGCGCGCTTGGGATTATTGGAGCATACTTGTTACCGGAGAATTGCCCAAACCACGAAAAGGAGACATTGAGCATCATCCTATATCGACGGGAACGAGACTTAAAGAGCACCCGGAGATCAAAAAAGTTCCGCCAAGTCAACATGCCTTCTCTTCTCAGAGACTCGACCATTTCGGCCATTTCAAGTTTAACCAGCGGGTGATTGGAGTCACCGTTTGCGTGGTATTTGACCAATATGGCCCTTGCTTCATCATCTCGCTCGTTCCCGATCAGCCTGGTAATCATTGTACTTAGCCTGCTGGTACTTTCATAAAGAGTGGATATATCTCATACCATCTCGGAGATTCAGGGCAGAACCAAATTCCCAGACATACAATCCCCGGGCAAAGCATTTGAACCCATAAAGGGGTACGCCAATCAGCGTTCGCCTGATTCCCAAGGTATTTATGGCTTGCATAAACGGCGGAAGTAGCAGTTATGGAACCCTATAAAGGGTCATACCGCAGGGTTTACTTTGATATGAGTCTGGGTTTATAGAGAGTCCAAAAAGGGTTGAGGCTACCAACCACGTAGTAGAATGTATTATACATGCCCGCAACCGTCGCACGGTACTGGGGAGGCGCAATTTCGATAACATATAGCGGTGCAGCTGTGCACGCAACGATGGCAAAGAAGGACAATAGAAACCGACCGCCGATGAACACGCCCAGAGTGGGAGCCAGGGCGGTGATGACTGTCGCAGTGCAAACTCCAAAACAGCCGAGAAAAATGGGCAGCCGCCGGCCTTTCCAGTCTGCTATCCATATAAAGAGAGCGCCTATTATTTGGCCAACCTGGTGGTTTGTGTCTCAGAAAACGGCTGGATTTTAACTCATGTGGGAGGGGGCCTACATACATTGAAAATCGCGAAGACAAGTCCTGTTCCTGCATTGCCTGATGGGGGAAGGTGATAATATTTGACGTAGCTGGGGAGGGTGTTTATGCTGCCCATTAAGCTGCCGTCAAGTCCTAGTTATCACCCAAAGGATATCAAACAGCTGAGTTAGCTCCTCCGGAACCCACTTTGCTCAATAAGCCATGTGCGCACTATCCATGTGCATGCGCGGTACTGTGCATTAAGCTTTTTGATCCGCAGTGCTTACCGTTCATAGTTGATGTCAGAAAGATGAGGGCGCAAAAGAGATACATGCGCAGATACCCACTGCCTAGCCAGTTGGGCTTGGAGTGGGCCAATATGTCGACCAGCTTTTCATTTCCCAAGGCCTCGATGGTATCATCGCCTGCGCCATCCTCGTTCTTAGGGACTGATTTGACTCTCTCCATCCTACGAGGTGTCAGGAGAACATCGGAAAGAAATTTTCGCCGTCTCGTAACCCAGTAGCTAAAAAGGAAAGTAAGTGATACTTGAATGTTAATCAGGGTCTTCGAGCTCTGGATGTTACGCCACCCCGTGCTGGAATACTACGGGGGAATGAATATGAATGCCGGGTCGCCTCTTCACCGAGGATCAGATGTTCATCATTCTTTTCGTTGCGTTCTTTTTTTCTTCTTAAAATGGCGGTTATGTAGCATTGCCAAAGCAGCAGGAAATGTCAGCAATAACAATTCTCATGCAGCTCTTGACGGATTGGAGTTGAAGCGAGCTGTCAAGATGGTCAAAATCATGGAACCTTGGGGGACGTTTTCTAGGGCTATGTGGCGTTTTTAAACTATCGAACGGCGTTGAGCTTAACCGTGTTTGCGGAAACCACAAAACGCCAGCGGCTTCGAGTCGAGCATTGTTGATTCCTTCAGTGAAGATTATCTTAGATCTTGTATTTTTTTTAAAAAAAGTATATATGCAAGCTACATGAAGAATCGGCAGTTGGTTCATGGCTATACATAGCTGTGAAAGACGACTACTGCCTGCAGAAGAAATAGACCAGAGCCCTCTAGGCAATCTCAGGCTGGGGTTGTATTGATGTGTACAAGTAGATAGAAATTGAATTCTTTACTTGCAGTTCTATTCCTCACTCAACACTATGAAATGGTAGGAGGGTTTGATGTTCAGATACATAGTCACTACTAGTATGTACATCCATTACGTCAGAGCTCTGCACTTTTCCAACAACCAGAGTTTCGCATGTCCTTGAATCTGCTACCAGCGAAGCTTGAATTGGTGGCTCCTATCTCGTGCTGATATCAAACTCCTGTTTTTAGTGGTGGATCTGGTGGAGTTTATCTACTCAGACAAAGCTTGCCAGCACTCCGTCTAACTTACACTTGTATGTAGTTTTACACAGCCTTTCATCCTTTCATCCACATACATGTTCACTGTCAGCATCGATATGTGTAGTCTGGCTGAACATAGGGGAACTTGCAACATGATTCCAATACGGAGTACTAGATCTATGACCATTATTTCCCTCGTCAAAGGTATTCCTCCTCAATTTTCAAGCCCAAGCCCAAGCCCAAGTCTAACTCTAATCCCACCAAATCCATCTCTAAGAGTTTGTCATGGTGCAAAGTTCTTCACATTTGCATCATTACTCTTGCATTCCCCTGAAGCCGTGGTTATGTATGATCGACCCGCGAAGCCACCTCAAATCTCTCCTCTGGATAAATTGCCGAGTACGATCTGGAAGGTGATTAAACCTCTTGCCAGCGCACATTCCGGCCAATGAGCCTATATGTGCTTCTATCTTCAGCATCAGCATTGCTTCTCCTGTTGGCGGCATAGCCCCACTGTTAGCTGCCATTAGCCTGCTTAGTTCCCCTCAATCCACGGGCTCGGCGCTGGGGGCCATCCCACTTCCCACAACCTATCCTGAGCCCAATCTCTGCGATCAAATCCTTCGTGCAGCGGAAAGTCCCAAACGGAGGCTACCAAGCTAGGGGAAAGTCTGTCCGATGAATGGCGGCAAATATTCCATTCGAGTTGCTGGTTGCCAGACAAACTTTTGAATACGGATTTGGTGATATATACGCTCCACCCATCCACACACACACACACAAAAAGCAAGTTAATTGGGAATCTTCAGGATCGTCAGAAGCTCTCATAGCCCAAAACCAACAGTTCTAGTCAGCTTGATGAAACACGAGCGGCGAGCGGCATCGCCGCCTATCTACACGTACTGTGCAGAATACAGACAGAGCACACCACGCCAATTCAGAAGCTGGGAATGTGCTAGCCTTGAAACTTTAACATCCAACCTTCCGAAGCGCGGCACATCCTGCTGCATATATCCTTGCACGCCTCGTGTCTATAAATATTACCACTACAGCTTGTTGTTGCCATCAGCTCGTCAAAGAACCACCCATGGTAGCAGTGTACGATCATCGCCAAAGATCTCTTCCCAGAAGAAACAAGGAACATTATTTTCAGTCGTCTTGAAACAAAAGACATGGGCAAAGCTTTTGCTATTCAAACTAGATGTGATTGGCTTGAATGTCTTTAGAAGACCTGATGATCTTCAATTGGTGTTCCGTTTCAAGGTTTGATTTTGGATTCATTGGAAAAACAATTGGCCCCTTGGAATAAAAGAAAAAAATAAAAATAAAAATACGGGTAAATGGAACCTCTGTATGCGGGCTACTTGAGCTTCGGAGGCACTTGCGATTGCCAAGGTGGTTGAAACGACCCACGGCATATCATTCAATTTTAGCGGCAGAATGGTCGAAGAACATGGGAAGACAGTATCTCACTGTTCCGTATTTGGTGGAAGATGTATAAGCCTCAAGATCACAGATAGCATGGAGGCTCTGGTCATTATGGGGTACCAAGGTAAGTATCATTGATATAAAATGGTCGCCTGCAACCGCAGCTTCTCTACTTTCACCCATCTGGAAGAGCAATCAATCCCTCGACAGCGACGGACTTCTCCCTATCTCGTCGTATCTTCTTCTCACTTTCTATTTCCCAGTCATACTACCAGAATACATTAATAGGAGGTTCACGCGAACGAAAGGAAAGATGAGATATCTCATCCCCCTTTTCACCCTGACCGCCACCTGCACCCCCCTTTCCGCCAAATCAAAACGGTGGGAACAGTGCAGCGTTAAAGGTGAAGAAGGCCACTGCATGCCGCCTGTCGAATGTAAAGCCTGGAGCGGCGTACCCATCGCCGGCGACTGGTGCAAACACTCACCAAATGGCTGGCAATGTTGCACAGCTCAACTCCCCTCTTTTCACGCCAGCATAGCAGGTGAGGATGGTGTTGACGATGGCAACGACGACTACAGCAACAGCCTTGCCAAGCGCGCACCTCGCTCCTGCAACGCCCGCGGCGTCCCCGGCATCTGTATCAAGAAGTCCGCCTGCAAGGGCATCGCAACACCCGGCGCAGGCACCCCGGAGGACCCCTGGACATGCCCCTGGGACCCCAACGACGTAATGTGCTGCACAGACAAAGCACCGCCCCCACCACCAGCGGGCCGGAAATGTAACGCCCGTGGCGTCCCGGGAGTATGCAAGAAAAAATCCGCGTGCAGAGGCACCGCGACACCCGGTGCCGGAACCCCCAGTGACCCCTGGACGTGTCCGCATGACCCCAACGACGTGATGTGCTGCACGGATAAGAAGCCGCCGCCGCCGCCCGCGGGCCCATCTGTTCGGATTCCCGAGTACAGGTGCAAGCGCCATGTCATTGATGCCGGGTATAAGATTATGGGCGCGAATCCGGGGAAGGTGAGGTCTGTGGGTTGCTACGGGAAGCGCTCGGGCAAGTCGGAGCATCCGATTGGGCTGGCGTTGGATTTGATGACTGGGGTAAGTTTCCTTTCTTTAAAGGGGCGTTTCCGATCATAACCCGTTCTGTTGATTGGTATATCAACCTCCTGACATTCGCTTTTTCTTTTCTTGCTTGCACAGGCACTCTCCCCCAACGGCCAGCCGCTTGCGGAATGGGTCATGTTCCATGCTATAGAGCTTAAGGTCAAATATGCCATCTGGGGTCAGAGGATCTGGGAAGCCGGCGAAAGCGTTCGAGGCTGGGCGCAGTGGGAGAAGATGGAGGATAGAGGCGGGCTTACTGCGAATCACTGGTGAGCTGTTATTTTATTTTATTTTTTGAGAATCATATTTTTGCTTTGCTAACTTGTTTTTCTCTAGGGACCACGTCCATGTTAGTTTCCGCCCATAAAGGAGACGGGAGTGGACCATCCAGAGAGACGCTTCATTTTAATTTCTCCCGTGAACATTATCTGTTACTTCCATGTTTGCCTGTGCTGGTCTTCCCATACCCATTCCACGTTGCGTCTTAGCTTTGATGCTGATTATATCTCCTTTTCTTTTTTTCTTTTTTCCTCTTTCTCCCCCCCCTCCCCCGTCTTCAGTTAATGTGATGCAAGTTTCTATATTATCATTCCACGAGGAGGGGGGACTGGGAGGAAGCCCTGAATATCTTTGGTAGTGAGTAGTTAGTAGTAATGTATTCCTTTCTTTCTTTCTTTCTTTTTTTTTTTTTTTTTTTTTTTTTTTTTAAATAAAAATGAAAGGAAAAGAAAGAAATAAAAACGATTTGAGAAAAATCGAGACGCAAATATTATTGCCATTCAAAACAACCAGGCTAATATGAATATGTAGCATCCATCCATCATGCAGCAGCCAAGTCACTTACTTATATTACCAGTGTGTTCATGCGAAGAACAAAAATATGTGCTTTTGTTTTTGTTTGTTGACTTTAAATGGAACAGGAAAAAATAAATAAATACAAGTTATTGTAAAAGCTCAAACAACAAAAGGAAAAGTAAAAGGAAGGGAAGGAAGGGAAAGGGGGATGGATAAAAAGTAGACAAAATGATAAAATGGTGAGGTTGGTCTGGTTCGTTGGATATCCTTGTAAAATTGCGAATCAAAAAGTAGAAAGTAGAAAGTAGGGAGCAGAAAAGTAGAAAAGCACAAGACGATGATGTATTTTACCCACATACATGCAAACCTTCAGATGGATTTGGCTGGATATGTATATACATATTCCGAACCGAATGCCCAAAAAGAAAAAAAAAAAAAAAAAAAACCCTGACAACAAGCAGAAACGAAAAGAGTACAGCAAGGCAGAATAAAAATATAAAATGGAATAGAATGGAACCACACACATAAATGCAGCAAAACCCTTGATTTCCTACCGCCAATCAATCCACCTCTTCATCTCAATGACCATTGCCATGGCGATTTCATTTACCGTCACCATTCCTCTACTCCAACTACTCCAAATTACACACCCCCAGCATTGGAAGTCATATTGGGGTTTGCATTTGCAGTCGCATTGGTACCAACACCCGCGCCCGTGCTCTGCCCAACAGCGCCAGTCCCAGCGCCAGTCCCAGTCCCAGTCCCAGCCCCGATGCCACCCACAGCAGAACTAGCACCACCACCATTACCCTTCCCCGCTAACTCCAACCCCAGTTTCTGCCTCTCCATCTTTTCTCTCTGCATCGTCTCCCGGCCAGCCTTCGTCACACGCGGCTTGCGCGACACTCCGCTCCCTCTCGCCGAGCCACCACCACCTCTTCCACCGCCAGCGCCAGCGGCTCCATCTTGTCCAGAGGATCCAGCAGCTTGCTGTCCCGCGTTCGACGATCCAGCACCACCGCCGCCACCCCCACGACCGCGCGCGCCGCTACCTGCGCCCGCAGAGGAACCACCAGCACCACCACGGCCGCGACCGCGACCGCGTTTTATGGAGCCGTCGGCTCTATGAGTAGGTTTTAGTTAGTCAAGGTATTCCTAAGGGTAAATAAAAAAAGCCAAACAAAGATGAGGGGGAAGCAACAAAATAAATAAAATAAAACGTACCTTTCAACAGCGACCTTCTCGCCCTCCGGAATCAACGGACCACTATAGACGAAAAACCCATCCTTGCTCGCGGCAGCTTGCTCCTGCCACGCAAGCTCGCTATCGTCGACGAACGGGTCGTCACGGTCATACTCTTCGATTTTCCGACGTCGTTTCTTCTTTGTAGAACCACCAGCACCACCCCCACCACCTGCGTCACTGCCTGCATGGCCATTCAATAACGACGATGAGCCACCCATACCGGACATGAGCACATCACCATCCCCGTCGCTATCGCGATCAGCATCGAGGCTTAAATCATCCTCCACTGCACTATCAGTGCCAGTGGTACCCCTGGTGTTCTTTTCATTTCTCTCCAGTGCAGCGCTGGCGGCATTGACGCGGGCTAGTCGTTCGCGTTGCGCTGCAAGGCGGGGATGGAGGGCGTCAAAACCGTACTGTTCTTCTGCCAGACGAGTGAAATTGATGATCTGGTTGGTTTTACCATTTAGAGGGATGTGGAGGATGATGTTCGGGGTTGATGTCGAGTTAGATTTGTCGACCGCGTCTACGCCGAAAAGGGTACCGGCTAGCAAGCCCGAGCCTGATGGGATCGGGGGCAGGGTTGTGTCTTTGGTTCGTGAAGGTTTAGGAGATGGTGCAGTGGAGGGGGTACCTGTGGAAGCTCCGGTTCCTTTTTTGGTGGGGCCTGTTGAAGTTAGTTTCGAGGGTACTGATGGAGCGGGAGTTGGTGCATTGTTCCCACTGTCGATATCCATGGTGACTGGTTCTTGCAGGAGAGAGGAGGACAGCAGCGGCTGATGCACAGCTTTAGGCTGTTGGATAGGTGTCGTATTGGTTTTAGGAGTCGAGATGGGAGTGGCTGAAACAGGTGAATGTTTGGCTGAATGGCTGTTCTCTGGAGAAACCTTGGACTGCTGATGAAAGAGAGATGGCTGGGGGGGAGCGGAGGAAGACGGTTGGATGGGAGGATCGATTATGCTGGAAATGGCGGGAGATGCACTAGCTCGGTACACTGGACGAGGAGGAGGTGTCCTTGTGTTGGGCGGGGGAGTAAACTGGTGACTAGAAGTCAAGGAGATTTTTGAGGATGCGGAGAATTGAGGGGCGGTGACGGATGAGTTGTCGAAGGCAGAGCGGATGGGGTCATAGTGCTGGCCACTGGTGCGCGCGGGTTGAGGTTGTTGCTGGGACGGAGCGAGAGTATGGGCAGGGCTAGGGGCGGGAGCTAGAGCAGAGGTGGAAGACGGGCCCTGTTGCATGTGATAGGGTCGATATGGAGGGCGGGATTCGCCGTTTGTAGGGAATGCATCGTAGTTGTTGGGGGGAATAGGATACGGGTGATTTGGCTGGAGGTGTGGCTGGAGCCGAGGCGAGGTGGAAGTTGAAGACGGAGCAAGATGGAATTGGGTTGACGAGGTTGCGTGAGTTGGAGATAGTGTCGAAGGAGTAGATATAGGAGCGGTATGAGGGGTTACTAGATCGGTGATTTTGGACTGCCTTGAAGGCGGACTTGGCTTGGCATCCTGTGGATGATCCAGCTTGGGTCGTTTTCGCGACGCTGCCCGATCTGCATTGTCATCGGTGAGAGGAAGATGCTGATTTTGAGACTGGCTCGGGTTCCCATTGGCATTATTGCCGTCGCCATTATAATTGATTTTGGCATTACTGGTGCGAGGTTTGCGAGGTTTTGTTTCCTTGTTTTTCTCCTTTGGCTCCTTGTCTTCTTTTTTTCGCCTAGTTCGTTTCACCTTTGTGGTGCCAGTGGCTGCGACGCTCTCCTGTTTCTCATTTTTAACTCCTGCATCTCCAGCATTCTTTGTAACTACAACAGGAGGATCAGCAGTGTTAGCAGAAGCAGAAGGGCCCAGCGCGACTGCATTAGGGGATGAAACGCGCGATCGAAACCGCGCGGGAGTAGGCACACTCTCACAGTCGGATAAATTGGGTGAAGACAAGTCAGGGGACGAAGACTTGAGAACTTTGGCAGGCGGTAGCAACTGCTGTTGGAATTGGAACTCCAGTTGTTGTTGTTCTTGCGACTGTAGTTGAGGTTGAGGTTGAGGCTCGGCTTGCGGCTCTGCCCGTCGCGTGCGGCCTTTGCCTCGCCAGCCCTCGTCCGCAACATCGGCCGACATGCTTTTACCTTGCGGCGACAGCAGAGATAGTAATTGAATGCCCGTGACTCAGACAGCAGGCGATGTGCCCGGGGTGTATTTCAGTTTCTCAGATCCCGACCAAGTTACGGTCTCTGAGCCGGAGAGGAGATTTCCGTCTCTTCCAGAAATATGTTTGCAGCCTGGTGGCTCGTTCTCCTGGTTTTGTTTTCGTGGATTCTCCCCCCCTTTTTTTTAGCCTTGTTTTTGTTTAAATTATTATTGAATTATTATTATTATTATTTTATTTCTGCGTAGTTGTTCATTCAACAGAGAAATAAAATAATCACGTGGTGTCGAGTTGTGAAGGCGGGAAAGGAGAATTTTGGATCAACCCCCCTTTTTAATTGGTGGTGGAAAACAAACCACCTTGGGATGCTTTACACAAGAACCAAGCTGGCGATCGTGTTGAAAACGTAAAAGAACAGTCGAGTTGTTGTGGTTGGCTGTTGATTTAGTTTGCGGAGTTAGTTACGCTGTTCCGTGGGCCCCAAGAACACGAAAATCGAAAAGAAATCAAAGGTGGCTTGAAGCGGTTCGCCGTCGACTGGTGTTTTATCGGAGCACGATCAAAACCAGGGAAAAGAATGAATTATCCCGCGATCACCGAAACACGCGAAGAACCGGTCTTGCGCCCGATGGTTGATGGTGGATGATGGTGGTGGTGTTGACGTGTTCGGGAGTGTTGTTGGGGATAGGAAGAAGTTTGGCGAGGAAGCAGATGGGAAAAGTACAATATAACAAATAGAAGAAAGGGCGACACGATGGCGATGGCCAGGTCGTGAGCAGGATGAAACAGAGGAAGAAGGAGGAGGAGGAGGTGGAGGAGGAGGAGGAGGAGGAGAAGGAGAAGACGAGAAGCTTGGAAGAAAAGTATAAGAAGAGGGAGGGAGAAGGGAAAAAAGAGAAGTGGAGAAGAGAAGAAGGCAAAAGGAAGAAGGGAAGAAAGAAAGAGAGAAAAGAAGAAAAGCAAAGGAGAGGGGGATGGCGGCAGATATTAAAGATTATGCGAGGGACAGAAAGTGAAAGAGAAGAGAATGGGAAACAAGCAATAAGAAACGGAAAGGGGAAGGGCAATAACCGGCCGCGCTGCTGCTGGACGGAGTCACTGGAAGGACATAGCGAGAGGCAAAGAAGACAGCAGAAGGCGAGGCAAGGTGGGAAAGTTAATTAAGTAACGAGATGACGGGCGTGATGTCGCCGCGACTGGCAACCAGGCGCGGGAGGGCTGAAGCACTCCAGGAAGGGCACGGGATAGCAATCAATGACTGCTGGCAACGGGAACATGCAGCATTGGATGGAGGGACGATCATCAATCACCTTGTTGCTGGAAAGGTTGAACCTTGGAACTGGGCTGCGAAGCGATGATCAAGGGGAGCTGCCATTTGAGCCCGATACATGTCCTAGCAGCCGGTTTGCGCAATGTATCGATGATGACGACGGATACATGCATGAAGCTCTGTGTATACATATATGCCCAGCTGCTTGCTGGCTGTTGTGGGGACGCCGGCGACACAGGATAGTTAGTTACATGATCTCACGCAGAGCCCGGAACCTTGGCTTCTTGGTATGGCGCATTGACGTGCTCTTATCTCTGCAGAGTTGGTCCTTACCATTTTCTGTTCCCTTTGAACCCTTCCGTCCTGCTCGTACTAATATGCGCAGACTTGAGCGACTCTTCTGGTAGCCAAGCCAGCTCCCTTGCAGCCACAGCTCTATCTCACCCGTGCCTGGTCTACTGCGTATGCCGTTAGTTACATGCATACAAGTTCCTTCTGCCGCAGATCGCGGATTATCAGCTCTCGATCCCCGACACTCGCCTCAACTCGCCACACCCGGCAGCAATACAATATGTTCAACGGCGCCGGGATGGGCTTTTGTCGCTTTCCAGGACCCCGACATAACTGCAAACAAGCATTGCGATACACTGCATTTATCTCCCGAGCTCTTAACAAACCCCATTCCTCTTAGGGTTTTGCATGAACTTCCTCTTTCAATTTAGCATCATAGAATAGCTTGCACGTGATGTAAACCTTAAACCACCCTCGGTATCGAGCTAGTCCTAAAATAGGATAGGCGGAAGATCATGTGAGAGATCCACTCCGACTCGGCTCAACCGATCCCGATATTGTGACAACGACAACGACGACAGTAGCAGCAGCAGAAACAGCGGTTGTTGGCATCTGTCTGCTGCACATTACGCATATGCACTTTGGTATCCGGCGGAAATGGCAATCCGCGGAGAGCGCTTTCATATCGACCTCTCTGACGACGATGGCAGCTCCGATGATCACGGCTTTGCCTGCTCAATCAATTCTCCCTCCCTTGGTTTGATCGGCGACATCAAGGAGCGAGCTTCTTCTTCTACCCCGGTCCCGCCTGCTCCGCCACGAGCGCCATCTAATTCTGCAGGATTTCCAGAGTCCCGAAAACGATACACGGTCTCTTCTTTTAAAAAACAAAGAGCCGATCCAGATGCTCCGCGAAATCATCCACTACCGCCAAAGCACTATTCTGGTAGAGTCAACCCTGGCCAAACGCTGTCCTATGCGCAAAATGAGAAGAGATCTATCGAGGAGGAAAACAAAAGGAGACTGGCTGCCATGTCTCCTGCTGAGATCGAAAGAGAGCGCGGCGAATTGATATCTTCCCTCCCGCAATCGCTCATCGAACGACTTCTACGAAGAGCAAATATCGAAGAGGACCACCAACATGAGGAAATGAAACACCGGGTGAACAAGGAAATCAAGGAGGATAATTCGCCAAAGGTGTTAACAGGAGAACAGGAAAAGGCGTCTACACAATCGCAGAAATCTTCCAAATCAGTGTCATTCGATATTCCCTCATCGGAAACAGGCGAACAGTCCTTGGCTGCCGCGGATTCAGAAGCACTAGAACAACTCGCCCAACCATCATCAATCATAGACAACCTACCACCCCACCAACCACCGTCTGAACTATTTCCCGCGTCTGACTTCCCAACTGGCCCCATCCATTTCCCCAAACCCCCTCCACGTCAGTCTCCCATGCCAAATCTGAACCCTTCTTCCTCCTCTTTCCTTGCAGACCTGCAAACCCATTACTTCCCCGACATCCCACACGATCCCTCCTCCCTCTCCTGGCTTCAGCCATCACCACCACCAAGCCCCTCCTCCTCCCACGCCCCATCCAACCCCTCCATATCACCCTACCACCCAGCCAGCACCGCCACCTCCATCTCCCCTGCTGCCCTCCGCTTCTCGCTCACCGGTGCCCTCCTCGCACCGCGCACCTCTCTCTCCATCCCTACAACCCACGGCCTGCACCACCACGCTGCTGACCCCGAAGCCGCCGGCTACACAATTCCCGAACTCGCGACCTTAGCCCGCTCCACCCTCCCCGCTCAACGCTGTCTCGCTTGGCAGGTTCTCGGCCGGTTTCTCTATCGATTAGGTGTTGGGGAGTTTGGGGAGCGTGGGAGTGCGCTCGTCGAAGGTCTGTGGGCCGTTGTGGAGCGCGAGGGTGTGGTTGCGGGCATGCTGGCCGAGGCTGGCGGGGGAAGTAGTGGATCGAAAAACGAATTTACAGCTGCTACTGCTGCGAGTAATGCGGCTAGAATTGGAAAACATGCCAGCGCAAGGGCGTGGGCGACTGAGGCGGTTTGGCTTTGGAGGAAGGGTGGGGGTGGAGATAGAGGATTGACGAAGGAAGGGGTTCTTAGGTCGAAGGAGCAAATTATGGGTGGGAGTGGTGACCGGGGACCTTCGTGATTTGCATATGTTTGCTGGGCAGTCAAACCTTGTTTCTTTTCTTTTCTTTCTTTCTTTCCTTCCCTTTTTGGGGGGCTTCTCGGATTGCCATTCCATTTAGATTAGGCGCAGGCGAATGTGTGTTTTCTTGTCTTTTGATCTATAACACTCTTGTTCATGGTGATCCGGTTTGATGGCATGATCTAGCATATATCATAGGAGTTTTTTTTTTTTTTTTTGAAGGTCGGGATGGATGAATATTGAACATTGAAGATTGAAATCAATGTGTTAACTTACAGAAAGAAACTTCTTCCTGAAAGCAATACAGACATGTTTTAGTACCCAGATGAATGACACTCCTGTCAATCTATCATCAAGAATAGCCATCTCAGCAACGCCATATATATTTATTTCTCAGCTGCATGCCATTGTGCTGCATGTATACATGCACAAGATTTTTCCTCTTTCCACTTTTCTTTTTTGTTTGTTCTAATGGGATTATTATCTCATCTCAATTGTCACTCTAAAAATTGAGGCTCCATGCTGCTCAGAACTATCATAGTGACTGTTGAGATAAAAAAAATCATATACTAACTGTGCCAAGTGCACTCCTAAACTCACTCATTAGTGAGCGCATCACACTGTAATGATAATCACATCATAATAGTAGTATTTTGAATAACTATTATGATTCTTAAAAATTAGTTAACTAATAATTATTATCGCATCTATCTATAATATAAATATTATTGATTATACTCGTTACACCGCCTTCTAAGCAAGTGATATACTAATATGCAACAAGTTCGTTCTGTTATCACTTCACATAAATGTACTACTTTTGTATCCAAAGAGCTTTCTCTTTGAAGAAATAATATTGAATGAGTTCAATATTATATTAATTGCAGTGTATCTCAATTAAAATGTCTTGTTTTGCTTAAAGATCTGCTATTTAGATCATAATCTGTGGGACGGTTAATCTTGTTATTGTTGCGATCAGAGCAAGTTAGCTATATAGGGTTCATCGCCAGCGGTGGAGTGGCTGCCGCAATCAACAACACCCCTTCATCATCTTGACTAGCTGATTTGAATCTGTGATAGCATGTTGACACTCTTGTAGTGGAATTTTTGCACTCATACAGGCCTCATAACCTCCGAATAACCCAACACAAAAGAGCTTTTTTGGCAATCGCCTCACGGACAAAACACGTACAAAGCGCTGGAGAAGGCATCCTGAAAAGCCATGTTTCGTACCTTAACATTTGCCTGGAGCCGCTGCGTAATAAGGGTCAAAGACAACTCACCGCTATGGCAACACTTTTGTTATTCAACTCCCCCCTCCTGTCGACTGATGTCTGGCGCGTCGGATGCTGACCATGAAGATTTCTACCGCTACACGGGCGGGCGCTGGCTATGGAATGAGTCGATGCAACTTAGGAACCGATACAAGCGGTTTGATGTGGCAGAGCTTCAGAGGATTGCAGCTAGGAGCGTTGGATCCAGGACCTGCTCACGTATGATCAAGCTTGCGGAGGGAGGATCTAACAAGGTCTTCAGGCTTACTATGGATGATGGTACAACCGCGATTGCACGGATACCGCATCCTAATATGGGACCTCCATTCAAGACGACTGCCTCTGAGGTTGCGACTATGGATTTTGTAAGATTACTCATGGTATAAAATGGCTTTGTGCAGAAACTTATATTGATGTGTTTCACAGGTTCGAACTGTCCTCAATATACCAGTCCCAAAAGTGTTGGCTTGGAGTGGGAATGCGGACAATGCTGTCAAGTCAGAGTACATAATAATGGAAGCAGCTGCTGGGACTCAGCTTGCAGACATTTGGGAGGATATGGAGATTGACAACAAGTTAAAAGTTGTGGAGAATATTGTCCTAATCGAAAAGAAGCTGCTGTCCCTTTCATTTAACCGGTTCGTTCTGCCAAAGGATGGTTTGAAACTGCTTATGCCAGTCTAACGCTTGGAGTATAGTTACGGGAGTCTTTATTTCGCGGACGACGCCTTTCCTGGATGTGAAAAGGTGGAAATTATAGGGGATATACCCCGGTCACAGAAGAGAGAGATTGAGAGCCGTTTTGTACTGGGTCCAGTTGCCAGCAATGACTTCTGGGATCGCGAACGATCGCATATGGATATTGACCGCGGGCCTTGTGAGTTGCAGCATATTTTCATTAACTGCATTCGCTTTGTTTACTAAGATTTGTCTGCAGGGGAAACAGCTCAAGACTATCTCAGAGCAATTCCTCGGCGTGAGATTGCCTGGATCAGCTATCATGCCACCACTGAACCTTCACAGAACTTGTTTAAAACATCTGAAGCCCAAATCTCCCCTAATGCTCATATTGCCCTTTACAGGAAGTTCTCGACGGTTACAGATCATCTGTTGCCGAGAGATCTGGAACTGAACCGACCCACCATTTGGCATTGCGATCTCCATTCCCCTAACCTATTTGTTGATGGTGACAGGGTTACCAGTGTAATTGACTGGCAAGGTGTATGGACTGGACCTCTCTTCCTCCAAGCACGGCATCCAGCATTGGTAAATTATAGTGGAGAAATCGTGCTGAAGATACCTGATCATTACAAAGACATCGAAGATGAATCCGAGAAAGCGCGTATCCGAGCACAAGTAGAAAAGTCAATTTTGCTATGGGCATATGAATCTGACACAAAGGAAAACAATTTCCTTGTCCATGACGTTCTCCGCTTCCCACATGGACGCACCGTTCGCGACGTGGTGGGGTTTTCTGCCAATACTTGGGATGGGGATATCTTACCATTTAGAGAGAGCCTTATCCGCATTGTACGGTATGCCAATATCCACGCATATAGATTGCATGTTGAGATTAAGGTGCTGATCTAAGAGTCACAGCCATTGGAAAGATATTTGCCCTGAAATGGCTTGCCCCATTACATTCTCAGATGAGGAACTAAAGTCCCATTACCGCGATGCAGAGGGTTGGAATGAGATAGCAGACTTCTGGGACTCTTTGGATGGATTTGTCCATCGCGATGGATGGACCTCCAACCAAAATTATGAAAAGGCGTACAAAATGTTCGTAGAACTTAGAGAGCAGACATTCGAGGATTTAACTTGACAAGAACGTTCAACCTTTGAGAAGCACACACGCCTTGGCTACTAGGTATCTTCTCCTGACAGCACAATATATGAGCTACTACACCGTCGGGTTGGAGGGGCAGATTCTAGGAGTTTCCACAGCTAATCAAGAATATATCTGGCAAGAAGCTTTGGGTGTATATAGACCTCAAGATTGCCTGCTCTCTGAGAAGGCATACTATGGTCACCGCCAGTGAAGTTGATAGTACAGGGGTTGCCAAACAATTCTGAGATATCTTGAGCCACCATGGCTGCCCAATAATCGCAAGCGCACCACACCTTGCAAGTTGGCTCAATCGATATTATTAGTGGACAAATACTGGTGCCCTCGGGAGCATGTGATGCATTCTGAAATTCAGACGCTAATACTGGCCATAATAGGTGGAAGCATAGCCTATGATACAGAATTAGCGCAGCGGCCCCTCCTTGAGAATATCCGTACGATATCTCTCACCACTTTCGGCGACCCAGTGTCCCCTGGGAAAGTTCAAAAACCCACAGATATCCTTACCTGTCATTCCGTCCGGGATCGTATGCGGTTGAATCTGGCCATGCTCGCCATAACCCTTCCAGATTTCTTGCAGATCGCTGAAGGTAGTGAAGCCCTCTACCTGTCCTTCGAGCAGAAAAATACGCTCTCTTGGAAGTCCAGCAACCTTAGCAGCAGACACAGCAACCTTCAACGAGCTCTGGGTTGTCATTAGATATTTCGCCTTCGCCTTTGCGAGGGCGTAAGACATCTCTTCAACGTTGGACGCTGGGGAAGCTCCAGCCACCTTCCCGCCTATAAAAATAATAGCCGCAACTTTCGGTCAGTCATGTGTGAGTATGAAATGGACTTTTGGAATTCGTACCCGCCATAAGCCTAGCAAACATAACCACAGGATACCAAATTGTACTCTGACTGAAGAGCGATATGGTGTCGGCTTATTTCATGCCATACTCCTTCACCAACGCCGTGCTTGCATATGTTGCCGCTTCCTTGACTTGCTCCAATTGAGCCGCTCTTTTGTGACTGCGTTGGTATATCCGACCAGCTCATGCGGCTGGTATTTATATAATACTGGGAAATCGAGGGATTCGAAGAGCCATTGCCATACCGTTATATTTGTGGGAACTACATATTTCGCTGTTAGTCACATTAAATGTGAAACAACGGTGGTAAGCAAAACGTTGATGAAAGAAAAAAGCCATCAAAAGGCAGGGATGAAGGGTGGGAGATATAGACATGTTAGAAAGCTGAAATCTAAGTTCAATGAACGCCGCCTAATGCGCCTGCCGTCGATGTCGGGATGCCTTGAATTGAAAGTCATTTTCTGGATGTATAAAACCGATCCTCCCTACCATAGGAACCAAATCAAAAACGAATTAGGCGTAAACAATCCACCCATCACTGCTTTTATGTTTTTAAGATAGGGTTAAACTCTCATCTGATGGAATGGATATATCGCTCCTCATATGCCCAGACTTCGGCTTGCGGCCGATCTACCGACATTTCGTTAATTAAGACAGTTGAGGTCAGTTCCTCAGTCTAGTGCAGACAGCCAGCCCTCGGGAACAACATCACTGGGATCTCCAAAAGGCGGCTAGAAATAGCCGGATAATGCTCTACCCAAAGATTATCTGGGTAGGGGACGCGGTTGCGCTATAACACATGTAACAACTATGGGTACTAGTAACTAAAAGTAATCGGTGTTGATAATGTCGCGATCTCCCTGTGGAAGTTCCGCCATTTTGACGAATTCAAAGATCCTTAAAGTGGGTGCGAGGAAAAATCGGGCTGGTTCACTCTAGTTAAACTGAAGCATGAAGTACCACGTTAAGCCGTACTGCTCTTCCTCAATGTGCTGGGTATTATTATTCACGCATCATTTCGAACTATCAACCTGTATCCAGCAATTATACCTGCTATGGATGGGTTACCGCACATAAATTTAGGGGGGTTTCGTCAGTCAGAGGCATCACAGCATATGACAGCAAGCCAAGCGGAGTTTCTTGGAACCAATAGGGCTTTTGTAAGGTGTTGAAGTTTGGTATATAGTGCTCTAGGTTTATAGCTGCATTGGCAGAGGAAAGTCAGACGCTCTCTCCCCGGTTCGCAGCATATTCAATTGGGTGCAGTAAGCACGGGATGGAAAACGTGTCTGAAGAAGCGTTCCTGATTCCGAAGGAAAGATGTAAATAGCTACTAGTATTTAGTTAAGCTGATCTGATAGCTTATTCTCATTTTCCTTTCTCCGAAGTAGCCAAGAGGTTCACGGAGAGCAAGAGAGGATCATATGCTTCTTTGGTTTCCCTTGTTTTTGTCTGTACTGTTTTCGCTCTTTTCTATTTCTGAGTCTAGTCACTTTCTCATTTCTCCTGTTGAAAAGGGTGTGGATGGCCCCGCTATAACCTCGAGTTACTTGAACAAAAATTCCTCGGCCACTGATCCAATCAGCCAGGTGGTCAATTCTGTAAATGCATCGAGATCATTCTTCTCCAACGCAGTTTTGACATCAGGGTTATGCCATTCATGCGTCCTCTTAGCTTCCGTGTCGCGCAACGACTCTCCAACCAGTCGGCAGCTGTCGAAATCAATGAGAACCGGCGTGCCATCCTCAGTGAACATAATGTTGGCAGGCGTGATGTCGTTGTGAACAAGCCCAAGCGAGTGCAGGTGCTGAATGGCCTGCAGGATACCGATTAGGCTGGCTTTTATGAAGTCGTCCACCAGAGGTCGCCCACTAGAGAGAAAGGCAAATTTGTTCAGATTTTGGGGGTTGACTTTTTCCAGCAATGTTGACGTATACCGCTTGAAGCAAAGACCTGAAACTCGACCACGCGTCACCTGGCAGCCATAGTAGAATGCAATGTTTGGGTGAGGATGTTTTCGAAGAACCTCACATGCCTCTACCTCTCGGATAATTTGCTTCTCGAGGTCGGACCTTCCAGTATATGCGAAGAGACTCGGAGTTTTGACGTAGCAGTCAAACTGCGATACCACAGTCCAGGTTTGCCTCACCTCTGGACCCCTGTCCTGGGTCTCTACCCGCTGAATATCAAGAAGCTGAGACAAGTCTTGAGGATCGTTTTCCCGATCCATCCACTTTGCAGAATATAAGACGTTATCTTGCCGTACAATGATCTGGACGTATACAAATTGGAACTTGCCATCAATTTTCTTGAAGGCTTCGTTCGACTGGACAATCTCCATGGATCTCAGAGTCATGACAAGTGGTATATGGACTGAGAATCGTGATGTTGAGGAGTGAGGACTATGAGATGTTTCGATGGTTGATGGAACGAAGGAGAAGGAATCAGGAAAGGAAATCTGAAGACGATATCATGAGTGCATGAAAGTATTTTGCTGGGACTACTTCCTCTTGCAAACTAGCACACTGCACATATATGCCTCAGCTGCTGGCAATACTCACACGAAAGTTTTATCGTCTAACTCAGTTGATATCAACTATTGAAAAAGAATTAAATTCAGACTTGATCTATCATTTAATAAAAAGAAAATTGATTACATTTTATATTTTTGTAATTTAGAGTGATTATTTTATATAATTATGAATAGAATTCACCTAATAAAAGGTTCTTGCTCTTAAACAACTCTTATGTTTAAAAGCACATCAAGATGAAAAGTCTTGTGTGGCTGACTTGGTTTAAACCAGGCTGAAAGTTTTTCCGGCCGACATTTAAAACTTTTTTTTTTTTTTCAAAACCACCCATCTATCAATACCGTCAACACAAGACTTACCCCAGGGCAGTGCTAAACTTTGGCTTGTAATTCTATACGTGAATGCGATACTGGGAATAGAGTTTATACGACTTGGCGGTGCAGGATCCCTCCACTAAACATACAGAACCAGCTCGTTCGCAAGTCAAACAATGTGCTTCGCTGGAGTCAATAAGCATAAGGCGCTGCTTGATGTCGAACGCCAATCAAGCAGTTCTCCGAGCAAAGTTCTCCAAGCAAACAACTGTGTCTTGTTTGCTGAGAAGTTTGGCAGCTGCTTAGTTTCTGCAGGGTTGCCTTACTTCACATCATGGTTCAGCCTTTCAGTCTGATGGATGTGGGAGTTCCACTACATATATCTCACCTCTTCGCGTTGGAGCGCTCTCAAACCCTCCAGTAACTTAAGATTAACTTGTCTCAAAAGCTTTTGAGCGGAAAGCACAAAGCCATTCTACCATACATCAAGACGCAAGCCATCCTCCTCCACCTTGCAACCCTTCTGTATAGTCTGGATACTCCACGCCTACTGTTCTCTACGGGATACTAGTTTTCAAGGTACGGCCGTTCCTATATTTGTGAGGCTCAGAGCTTTAATACCGTCACAGATGTCCAGACAGGCACCAGTTGAGCTCGTCAACAACTGCTCTTGGTCTTCGGTGGATAATGGGACTCCAAGAAAGACCTTTGATTGTGGAAACAGAAATTGCCCAGATTCTGTGAATTATCAACCAAAAAATTGAGAACCCAAAGGATGGGATTGGGGCTGGGATGAAGGGATATACGAATTGTTCGAATTGTTTTAATGTTCAAGTTGACGCATAACGGTTCTTCATTCAACATGAAGGCTGTAAGATTCGGTTGATACTCTCCGCTTCCTGTCCTGAGTTCTCACGTCTTTTCCGCAGCGATCAGCAGGACAAGACTGCTACTTCAATTGCAACTTTGCCCTCAATGCGTTCGGCATCTGCCGACAACCAACCCCGCGGCGAAGGAATCTACTATCTTGTGATTAGATCTTGCCCCTTAGAATATGATTGCTAAATTCCATTTGTTCCTATCCTTCCCTCGGCTACAATATCTATAGTGATGACACGGCCTTACGCGAGGGTCAAAGAGCAAAGGGAGTGGAGAAGAGAGAATTATTCCTGATAGCCATATGGCAGATGTCATGTTATTTGCCCTTCGGCAGATTGCATCTTGAGGCTTAGCTGAGTAATTTGCAATAACTACTCGTCCTGCCTCTTGAAGTAGCCCTTGTAGCCCATTTTGCGATGATGTCGCGATCGTTCTCACATAGCTCACTCGTTTATGCGGTAATGGACATGCACATGAAATAAGGAAGCAAAAACGAGTAGATGTGTCAATAGTGCTTTGTGACAAACACGACGACCGAACAGGAATTGCCTGGTGCTACAATAAAGAGAAAGCTGTTAACTTTTCCTTCTAAGAAGATGATTGGTATTCTCTGCCTATTCAAGTTACGTTACAAAATGTTCTTTATATCAGTGATTGTTTTTCCATCAGTATCTGATCAGATCAATCTTCATACCGTTGATTATAATATCACACCGCTCTTGCACAAAGGCGTATTGAATCGCTGGGAAATTTATCGCGGCTTCCAACCGTGAAATTGGCTTGAAGAGTGCACTGGAGGACGTCCCTAGCTTTATTGCAAACTTCGTCCCAACCGGCACCCTTGGATGAATGAATGAATGTGTCATTCCAGTCTGCACTGGGGCTGATATTTCGTTTGCGGAGCATGCGATCCCTTCGTATTGGCTTAGTTCGCTCTGGGGTTCTGACTTCATTTCTCCGGCTTCAATGCTAGTCAGGAGCTAAAGGAGTACCTGTCCGAGCAATACGAGCTTCCATGGCGCGCTGTGAATCCATCACTCCCGTGCAGAAGGAAAAACAATGAGACGGGAGAGGTCAAGATGCCGCTGAAATTTCCTCCACCGCATCCTTTCCTTTGCTGTTTGGTGCGCCCTCCCGATTTTCTCGTGTCATTTATTCGTTTCTATTGCAGCAGTGCAATAGGGGACCCTCCAAACCACTTCTGGTGCTCATCCTAGAATTCTATCCAAACTGTGATTTTGCATATTGAAAGTTGAAGAACCTGTGGAGACAGGCGACGAAAACATGGTTTGGCCACTCCCGCTTCTCCTGTCGTTTTGCATAGTATCAGGTTCCGGTGCTCTGGCTCAAGAAAGGAAGCTCTTGCCCCGGCAAATAGACGTCGATCCGCGTCTCACTTGCAAGACTTGCACAGAATGTTTTGGATCTGGATATGTCATCTGCAGCTCGATCGGGTGTTTCAATCCGGAGAGGGGACAACAGTGTTGTGCAGACGCAGGTCAGTAAATTGGCAAGGGGCATGATAGGGAGCGCCGAAGCATTCAACCTAAATATCGGTCCTGACAATTCATGATAAAGTAATATGCGTGGCAAAGGACAATAGTTGCTGCGATGATTTCGTAAGTTCCCATCTCTACGATGCGTTCTCGCATACCCACATCCATATAAAAATGAATGTATGAGGCATCATCTTTTCATCTATTAACCCATCAACTCATAGGGCGGACCGGGCGTAACGGGCACTGCCGACGGTACACCGCTTCCCACAAGCCTCTACACTCCATCCCACACCCCTACGGGCACGCCATTTAGCTTCGAGTGCCGCCGCGGTGAATCTGGCGAGAAATGCTGTGCGAAAAGCCGAGGGTTGATCTACTGTCCGGCATCAGGCGAATTTCCCAACATTAGGTGCTATCATCCTACCGCGGAAATCTGCTGTTCTGATGGGACCGTCTGCTCCGGCGAGGGCTGTTGTGATTTAGTTGTACGTGATCGCTTGGTTCGTACTTTTGTCTGTTTCGTTACTGACCTTAGTATCCTGCGCAGAATGCTTCACCAATCACGCCCACTGCAACCATCCCCGGAACGGGTGGTGTTGCTGTGACAGAGACGAAGGTGACCCAGACGACACAGGGGACAAGCACAAGTATCCCTGCAAGCACACCCACGACCAGTAATGTTGCGGCCATGAATAATGTCGTTGAGGGTATGGCGGCTGCTGCCATTGGGATATTAGGGCTTGTAGCCTGGCTTTGATTTCTCGGAAAATCGGTGGCATGATCTGATTTGCAGAAATGAGTTACTTGAGCGGATTTACAGTAAAAGTATAGAAAGATATATCCATTTTGATATCCGGATACATGTAGATATCCAGCGAATCACTGGCTCAGCCGAAACTAGATTTGTAAATTCTAGGCCTGAACAAATCATATACCATCAACATAGGCAATCATGAAAATACAACCATGAGCTTCACTTATCAAGCTCGTTTCCAGGTGAAACCATGGAACCTGCTAAGAACTTTGTCCCACCATCTGCGTCCGCTCATCGTCTTCTGGATCCCCGAGCTCATCATTTTGAGCAGTTGCCTCATCACCAACGATTGGCTCGTCTTCGGCAATTGCCTCATCATCGTTTTCCTTTTGCCCCTCTCCCTCCAAACTAATGCCCTTCTTTGTAATTTTTACAACCTTCCTGCCTACACTTTTAACCCACTCCTTTGTTCCCATGGTTATATTTTCTTCGCCCTCCACCGCCACAAGGCTCCCGATAATCCTGCCAGTCGAAGAGGCTTCTAGAAATGTTCGCATCCGCTTTGACCCTGTCCGGCCCACAACACACAGAACTGTAAGTGCAATGATCGTCGCGAGGGTGACGGTCAGTATAATAAACGCGGGCACCGCGAAAGGGATTTTGTAGCGGATGTATTTCTTAAAAGGTGTAACGGGCACTATTTGTTCCGCTGGGTCTGTTATGGCCGTCTCACGCTTTTTATATCTAACATTCGCATCTTGCGGCTTTCCCCTCTGCCGTTGCTGATGTGCTGTTGCAGAGAAACTGGTCACGCCCCAACCCTTCGTGCCCATGACCGCGTTGGCTGCCGAGTCTGTCCACACCAAATCGAGGATTCTAGCGGCACCCTCTGGCGTTTTAGACAGGCTTTGCCATTTGGCAAATAGAGCTAAGCTTGTAAAACCCGAATAGTCCACATATCCGCGATTCCCGCCGGGGCGAGTAATTGTGAGCGCGGTGAGCATAGCCTGAGTGTAGAATTCAGTGCCGGGAAGGTTCTGCGCAGCGTCTGATACGCCTCTGCTGCCTTCTAGGAGGATTGTGTAATCGTCCATGTAACCTGGGAGAAAAAGGTGTTCGTGGAACGTGGTGGAAATATTGGAGGGAAATTTAATATCCCCTGTCGACTTTGAAGGGCCGAGGATTCCCCAGAGTGGTTTTCCATTTGAAATGGGAATTTCTTTGAGGTCCTCCACAGCCCAAAGGGGTTTGGATTCCTGGTCTGCATAGATTTTGGGCTTTGTGGAGTTTACTTCTAGCGCTTCGAATGTTGTGCCGTTGAAATGGAAGGTGACTTCTTTGACTAAGGCTTTCACAGAAGAAGCGCAGCTGTAGACCGGTAGTGACCACCGTGAGCCTGGGTTTGCGATGAGAGAGGAACCGTCCTTGTCAATTCGATTTGCAGCGCCGTAAAGGAGACTGCAACCTACGAGAGTGGTGTTGATATTTGCCGGGCTGTCGAATGTAGATCCCGCACAAAGATTTGCTGCAAACGGTCCTCAGCTTCAGATAGCACTCTGTATTCGGTGGTTACCAAAAGGAGAAACTTACTGATAAAAGAAAAGTTTCTCATGCTGATATCAAACGGATTCTCACTCCATTTAGTGCCGTTCATGCCCGATTTGCCCGTTAGATTGAGATATTCTCCGAACTCCATACTCGAGCGCAAAACGTCATACCCAACACGGAATGTGGTATTTTTAGAAAATGACGGCAGTGGAAAAGTGTCTCCTTCGGACACGTCCAGACGCTTGATGTTGCGCATATCGGGGTCTGTAACATTGTAGAACACCATTGTCAAGAAATTATTGAACCACCCCGCACTCATTGCCCGATCCTTCAGGTTGAGATCGACCTGCCCGTTCGAACTTATTCGCTCAAGGCTTGGAGCAGCGTTATCATGGAGTCCAGAGAAACCACCATGGTCAACAATTTTGAGATCCTCCACATATTGGTCGCTAGTCGACACGTCGCGAGGCAGTACGAAGTCCAGTGTAAAATTCAAATCCACGCATTGCGTCTCCGGCTCGATGAACAAGATATCCTCGTTCCATCTGCTGCCGAACTCGTAACGATGTTGAGGCACTGTGTGGGCCCGGAAACCTAGTCCCCCAGTCTTCATGTCGACAACAAGACCTTCAACGGGCAAGATTTTATCTTCTAGTAACAGAGTCGCCAACTGACGATAGGCGGGCTTCACGAAAATTCCTTTGCTTGGGTCATCTGCATTGTTTATGTAGGTTCTCCACTGGATGTCGAAGATGCTTGACACAGACGGTGAAAACTTGGTGGCGCCATCTCTAAAAGGAGTGATGAAGCTTTCGGGGAGGGCGGTTTGTATGTTCGACGTACAGTTTTCCAAGAGGCCGATTTTCTCACATTTTCTCTCGACAGTAGAGCCCGGACATGTATACGTCGTGCCGCAGTACCTGGAGAAAAACCCATCAGGGCGTGGTGGTGTTCCGTACCCAAACGCTGAGGTGTCCTTAATATATCGAAATGGGGTATTCTCCTTGTCACCCGAAGGCTCGATAGACTCATACAGGCCCAAGGGCGTGACAATAGATGTGATCGCGACCAGCGCTATAGCCACGGTTAAAAACCAGGACACAAAATTGACCCGCCTTCTAACACCAGTGCTGGCCACAGTATCTACACTGAGAAGCGTTGGCCATGGCGTTGATTGAAGAAAACGGCCGAGAACAGACCTGAACAAGCATCAGTCTTGCCATGCTTTCAGAAAAACATGATTGGGGTTCCATACCATGTAACTAGGGTGTGTGTGTCTGAAATGAAGGCAATGAGAATAGCTGGTATAGCCAAGGGGAAAAAGACCTGCACTGCATGTTCTGTATCAGCATTGATTCACACTTGCGATTGGCAACATAAAATAACAAAGTCCTCAAACGTGTACTGACAGACAAAGATGCCCGCTGCGATGAAGCCGGAAACTTCACCAACCGAGATATCCACCATGGTCGAGCAGCTGTAATTCTCAAAGCTTCCTTCCTGACTTCACGTCGTTTATGACACCTACCCACAGATATCGAGGCCAGCTCCAACAGGCTGTCCGGAAGTCAAGAGACATTTTCCTCATGTTAACAGAGTCGCTGCGCCAAAAGAAAAAAAAGGCTTCATTGATAAGCTATACCACCTGAAGCATTTGGCAGTCCCCTAGCGCAGACTAGGACGGATACGAGAACTCCATAATGCCAGCAAGGATTAAACACGAACACCGACTCCTACCCAAGTGGCACGATTGGATTCCGGAGAAAGATGACCAAAAAAAAAAAAAAAAAAAAAAAAAAGGAAATCACGTTAAGAATTGAATGGGCCTGGTTTGAGATTGGCAATGCGACAGGCCAATTCTTCTGGAAGCTGGAATCGTGTCAGGTACAGTCCCCGCAGAAGAGTGTACATATTCAAAATGAGCTGGAAGAAAAGAAGCAAAAATAAAAATAAGTAAATAAAATAAAATGAAAATCTTAATTGAATCGAACCAACAAAATCTCGTATATCCAAGAAGTATTCAGAATAGATCTTTTCTTTGAGGACATATAGAATAATGAATAAGTAAATGAGGACCAAACTAAAACAAGGAGATGTGAAGTTTAACCACCAGCGAAATATCCTCCTAACCCCTTTCCACTCACTCCCACACTCTACCCCGCAATTTTCCCGAACGCCCTCAAATAAGTTGCTGATTCAGGTGAATCTTCCCCTGAGGTGTTCTCTCAAATCGCATCGCAAACAAGGCCCGGACGCATTGTCCAGCCCGCAACATATAATACTTCATCAAGCTCGCCCACCTCCCCGTTCTTCCCTTCGAACTCCTTACCCGCAGCAGATAATACAACACGACCGCCGCAAATACATTAAAGGTAATATATGCCCACCCAATCCCAAAATTGCGCCAGCGCTGTGTCCAAAATATCTCAACAGTCGAGAGGAACTGGTCCGCATTTCGGATCGGGCAGTACCTGCATGCCTCTAATGCACTAGGGTTTTCAAGACGGCCCGGTGCGCCCGCCTCAAGATATCTCTCGAGGTATTCTCCGCAAGTGGAGCCGCTTGGAGGGTTGAAGATTGCGAATTCGTTTTCCGCACAGTGCACGACGCGGCCGTGCAGGCCTGTGGCGGCCATGCCCCCGACGGAGTAGGTCAATGGGGACACGCGCCACATGAAGATCCAGAAGCCTGGAAGTGCGCTGGGAGGCTGCATAACGCCATTGAACACGAGCGCTAAACTGAAGAGCGTTGTTGCCATGTGTCCGGCGGTTTCTGCATCAGGGAGGCCGGCAATTACCATATGGGCAAAGGTCGACGCGAAGATGAAAAATTGCACGCAGTAGATGAGAAATATGCCTTGCTGTTCTGATGTCTGGTTCTTGCCGAAAACTGGGTAGTAGAATGAGGCCCAGACAACTATTCCGAGGAGGATTTGATAGGGAATTTCCACGATGATGTTTGCAAGGAGGAAGGCTTTCCAGCTGTACGCACGCGATGGTCTTTCACGGACTTCAAATAGGGACCGCTGGGTAACAAACCTTGGCATTATCTAGATGATCGTTAAAATTTTACCCAAATATTTGCAAGGATATACGATATGGTATTGGCAAATACCTACCTGCTGGACAAGACTGGTAAATATTGTAGTCAACATGAATATCGAGAAGAGCGTATTTTGAAGACCCGAGGAAGACGAATTTTGTTTATAGAACGAGAAACCGCTGTGGCAAGACATCAACATATGGAACGAACCAATTACTCAAGACAGTCTTGAAAAGTATCACTTACATGAAGACAGCAGACATAAAACCTAATAAAAACTTCCCCCAAATGTATGTCGGTGTCCTCCAATATTGCTGGAAAACCCGGTGAGTAACATAGTAGATTTGCGAAGCCATGGGCATAGCAAATTCGGTTTTCGAGGATTGTTGTTTTGGTTCGGAAGCAGGCTCCTCCTCCTCTGTCTTCGCTGCATGTATGCGATCCAACTCTTCCTGAACTTCCGTGGCCTGCGGACTAGCATTCCATATTTCTGGCCAATCCTGTGTTGATTTGCCGCTAGGTCCCGCTCCAACAACATTCAGCATGTATTCTGCTGGGTTTTCATCGGGGCCACAGGGTTCAGCACCATGATCTGAAAAGTACTTGAGCAGGGTCTCGGAATTTTCTCCAATATCTCCAAAATAGACTGTCCTCCCGCCCTTCGCCAAGAATAACAGTCGATCAAACTCTTGGAACAATATCGCAGACGGCTGGTGGATGGTGGAGAGCACGGCCTGGCCATTATTGGCGAGTTTCCGGAGGAAAGTAACAATGGCCCATGAGCTCTGCGAATCGAGACCAGAAGTAGGCTCGTCAAGAAAAAGCAGAAGTTGTGGTTTCGCAGCTAATTCCACACCAATGGTGAGGAGCTTGCGCTGCTCTACATTGAGACCCTCGCCAGGGCTCCCGACAACAGCTTCGGCAAAATCTTCCATATTCAACATCTTGATAACGCCCTCAACAAAAGCGTACTTTTCTGCCTTTGAGACAGTCATTGGCTGTCTCAACATTGCAGAGAAGCGAAGTGCCTCGCGAACTGTGGTGGTCTCAAGGTGAAGGTCCTGTTGTTGACAGTAGCCTGTTTTACGCTGGAACGAAGGGTCAAGTGGTTTTCCATTAACGAACATATCCCCGGTAATAACCCCCACAGAAATGCGCTGGGCAAGAGCATCAAGCAGTGTTGTTTTACCTGCACCGGATACACCCATCAATGCAGTCAGAGTGCCAGGGCGGACCCATCCAGAGACGTGATCAAGTAGCCTCCTCGGCTCTCCTTTAATTGTGATGTCATATACCACATTTCGCCACGTAAAAATTTCTGTCTGAGGAGGGAGAATGTCGGTTTTATCTTCTCCGTTGGCCGTATCCTGAGGAGCAGAAACATCAACATCACCCGGGCGCGCTATTTCGCCATTTTCCTCATCCTTCTCCTCTAACATGTACTTAGGAACAATCCCACGTCGGAACACCAAGAATTCAGCGGATGAACCCAAGTCTGTGTTCATTTGTGTCGCAAAGAGGTAAAGGACGTAAAAGAAGGCCTGAAAGGCGAATATAAATCCAAGATTCCTCCAGAGGTGTGTATACTTATAGCCATATTGTGATTCAACCCACGCGTCACCGGAGACAGACGTCTCACCGGCTACAGCACCAGCAACTGGACATTGAAAATTATTTCCTTGGCCGTAAGGAGGAACAATATCAGCGCATGGGTACAGCTCATTATGCACTTCATTGACTAGGATAGCTTCGAATGCATATGCTACTGGGTTGATCCAGCTGATCCATTTGAACCATGGGTGCCTGCATCAAAGTTAGCTTTTGTGACACAGCCACCCCGCCGAAATGAGACTGATATCGATAACAATACACCAAAATTGTACTTACATATAAGATCGCTGGATAGTGAAACCGGTATACACGACAATTGCTAAGACCATGACTCCCGCGAATGCGAGTGCTTGAGATATAGTTTTCGTTGCCGCGGCTAGAGTTCGGAATATCGCGGACATAGTTAACGTAGTGACAAACGTGAAGAGGAAGAAAATGAAAAAATTTCCAGGTTCTCTCCTCAGGTCACCGAGGAAGTAGATGATTACGTTAAAGACTGTGCTTATGACGAATTTTATAGGGATATCAGAGACAATCCCTGCGAGGGCTTCAACCCATGCATAATAGAAAGCGAAGGAAACATGCTTGGAGACGATAGGTCGTTGGGCATCTTGTTGTGATTTTAGTAGCTGTTTTAGGTTTTGTGGGAAACGGTGGTAAACTTACAGAGCCTAGAATTTCGTCAGAGAGAGTAACTGCGTAAAAAGTAGTAGCAGATAAACTTACGTGTTAATTTCAGATATAGAAAGCAAGGCATTGAGCAAAATAGCGAAAAAGAGGACCGAGCCTTTTGAGAAGAAACTGCTGGTGACTTGCGGTGTATCAAAGAAGAGAGATCCGATAATCAAAGACATTATTAACTGCGCGGCCACTCTAGATATCGTTGATGCCTTGTCGTTCCACAGGCGCTGGTAGGCACGAATGGTACATACTTTCACTTGCATCGCTATCGAGATGGTATATGGAGACTTTGGACGAACGTGCTTTGCTTGAGCCTGCTGACGTGCTTCACGCAATTCTGTCAAGGCTGAGCCTCCTATTGGGTATTTGTTCTCGCTTACTTCGATCTCAGCCTGCATGTCTTTGAACGCTTGAGATTGACGCCAATACTCTTCAAACTCCTGCGCGGTCCGGGGAACCTTGGACTCGAAACCTTTCCTGGCTCTACGTTCAGTAGGGTTTGTCACGGACGTGAGAAAATCGCCAGTCGTTTGGCGCGGAGGGCAGTACCATCCCATATCTTCGAAGTATTTCTTCGCAGCGCTAGCAAGCCCGAAGTATATTTGACGCCCTTCATAGATAACAATGGCTTTGTCGAAGATATCGTAGATTGCCTGGCTTGCCTGGTAAATGGCAACTGCGTAAGTGCCTCCCATAACATCAGCTCCGACCCGCAAGGCCTGGGTGAACTCAAGGGCTGTGGCAGAATCCAATCCTCTGGTTGAATTGTCCCAGCAGGCTACCGGTGCACCAGACAACGTAAGTTCCGCAATGCTGACACGTTTTCGTTCACCACCGCTAACACCTCGCACATAATCATCACCAACCTTGGTGTTGACTGTATGACTCAAGCCAAATATAGCCATGACAACTTTCGTTATATGACGCGCAAACATTTTCCTTGTCATTCCCATGACCCTAGCAGCTGGTGTCCGGCAAGCAATAGCAAACTCCAATGTCTGGCCGACCGTGAGATGAGGAAAGTGATTTTCATCCTCCGCACTGTAAACAGCCTCCCCTCGGAACTCTTTTTTGAAGGTTTCTTGTGGAATCCCGTTGTAATGGATTGCTGTGTCTTTTCCCAGCACAAGATTATGTGTTTCTCCGCAAATAGACTTCAAAAACGTACTGCACCCACTCCCAGGTCTACCTAAGACGACGAGCATTTCCCCTTGTCTGATGTTCCCATTAAAATCCTTTAATATTCGCTTGTGATTTTTCTGGCCGATGCCGAAGGTTTCGCGAAAGCGGAATGGGGCCATAAGAGGGGTAGAAACCGTGCTCTGCAATTGCAAAGCAGAACCGGAACCGTACACGCTAAGGTTTTTGAAAGTAATGCCCGTACGACGTCTCTTTATACCTTCTTCCTCCATTAATCTCATCAGCTTGCGAGCCCATTTGAAGAAATCAAATTGCGGATTGGAAGGGTTTAAGACAGCGTCCCCCAGTCGAAGGCTAGCTACAGTGTCTCTTCGCTGCAAACCGTCCCCTGGTGGATACTGGTTGCCATTGGAAAAGACGGATGCTATTGTTGAGAGTTCTGGCCGTGTATCTCGGGTTAAGGATCTGGCGAGGTTGAATCTGTTGCTCTTTTCGTTGGAAGTGGATGCATTATCGTCATTAGATACATCACTTCCGTCCGTTTCATATTCCGCATTCTGGGGGTTCCGATCCTCGTGGACCGGAGAGTTTGACGTTTCCCCCGACATTGGGTTTGGGTGAGGACAGTATGTTGCTAGCAACTTGCAGATGAAAGGAGACGAACAGCCAGGCAGTGGAAACGGTAGGACGCCAAATTGAGATGCTAATATCAATTACTGGAGTCAAAACTCAAAACCTTCTCGAGATGGCCTTGAAAGGGACAGGAGGGCAGAGTTTTGTATCTCTGCAAATTAGCTTTTGCGATATCCGAAGAGGCGGGCTACCGCGGATTGAATCCATCATGATTCTTCGCATACTCTCCCATCGTAAAACTGAACCGAATACGTCGAAGCAGGGGCCGTGGGTGATGAATGATGTCACCATAGGGCCCACGTACTGAAAGAGGGTCTGAGGAACTCCCGCGCCTTCCGAAGCATGGCTAGTGCCGGTGGCTAGTGTTCCAGGCCTAGTCTTTCTTCCAGTTCTGTCCCTACAAAGGGCATGCCAGAGCGAGGGCTGGGCTAGCCAATGCAGCTTGGTGAAATTCTTCAAGGTCAATGACTGCATTGCCAGTGTATCGCTTCAATTGCTCCACCGCATGGGCATAAAGTAATATCAAGGCTGCAGACTAGGGAACCGCCCCTTTGTGGGGCCCTTTTTAGATCAATTGACAATGAGTACAGTAACAATCCAAACTGCATCAAAGTTACTAGCATTAATCATAGCACCTTCGTGTGCATAAGGGAACCAGTGGCAAGTAGGGAGGCGTGGAGCAAACGTCCTTCCAAGCACATGCTAGCAAGTTTATATGGCAAACCTATTACGTACCTGAAAAGGTTTCGCATTCGTTTAGGGACTGGATGCTTAAAGTTAAGCTGCCAACTCGGGGCGTCAAAGCCTCCATCCCCCCAGACATTGGAGATTTTCCACCAACGAGAATCAAATGTTGTTCAAAATTTTTTCGTGTCTCTTATTTAGCAAGCTAACTTATACCGAGGTCCTGGGGAAGGGTCACGTGGTGTATTTGGAAATCTACTGACACAAAATCCGCCCTCGGTTCTAGTAGTTTGCAAATAGGGATCGTCAAGGCATTTTTCTCACTCTGGAATTCGACAACATATCCGAAATGGCCATCGAGATAAGCAAGTTGGCCAAGGAGGACATCCCTTGCTCTGTGGAGATTGTCCAAAAAGCGTTTGAGGATGACCCGTACTTCCTCTGGGTTTTTGATGCCCAAAAGGTATGTGCCGTATCAGCGTATGCACAGTTTCGGGCAACGTGGCTGAACAGTGGCTACTAATAAAAGAGCTTGCTTCTACCGGCTGCGTAAGCGCTGGCTCATTGTTTTTACAAGTCATGCCCTCTACAAGAAGATGATGATAATCCATTTCCAAAATTAGTATTTTGTTTCGTACTAACTTCTCATGCAACGACTTACGGTCGGTCGGGGAGATATCTCTTGACCGTTGCTGAGTTGATCAATTTCATTCCCTTCAACAAACAGTTCTCGAAGGAAAGAAACGCAGCGTCCATCACAGCCCGCTGTTTATGGGGTATCAACAATGGTCTGTTCTACGTTGCCAAGGAAGTTCCATCAACGAACGGTGATGGAGCAGCGTCCGTCGGACCGCCCAAGAAAAATGCATCTCGCATCGTAGGCGTTGCCATGTGGCTTCCTCCTCATCCGCTGTCTGAACCAGAAAGCTGGTACTCGTACTTCCAATCCTGGATCTTAACTTTTCGCCAGGCAGCAAACAATATCCTTTTCCGTGGCCATGGTGGTCTCAACGTCAAACGCTACTGGATCTGGAAGGATGCTCAAAATGCTGTCCAAAGCGAAATCTGGAATGATTCCCGAGGCTATTACTTTTGCAATGTGATTGCGGTTGCGGACGATGCGCGTGGAAAGGGTATTGGAAAGAAACTGGTCGAGATTGTCACGGACAAGGCTGATCAGGAAGGAATGAAGTGTTATTTGGAAAGCTCCAAGAAAGTACCGAATTTAGAAATTTATGGCCGTATGGGGTTCAAATTTGCGAAGGAAATGGAGTGTCATGATGGGGAGGATGTTTGCAAGGTGAGCGGTTTTCTCGGCCTTCGCTATGAACGAATCTTCCATTTTCGTACACTCCCTTCGATGTCCTTTTAATATTTCTTACATCCCCTTTGTCAATCTAAAAGTTGCTTGCTATTCCAACGCAAAACACATGATAAAATGGTTGGTTACTGGCTATCCTGTTAGCATTTACTAACATTACTCCAGCTTTATTGTATGACTCGCGAACCAAAATACCCAAGCAAAACAACGCCGTTCAAAGGTTAGACAGAATTGAGAATGTGTACAAGGGAGCATATATATTGTGCAAAGTTTTTCTTGTGCAAAGCTTTTCTTGAGAGCGAAGAGTCACTTCCTTGTAGAAAGAGGCTTAGGTGCTATTGAGTCGTTCTGCATGATGTTAGGCCACTGGGGCAAAAGAGCTCAATCACCACCAGCGCCATGCTCGTAGTCAAGGGGAATCCAGACCCCCAACATATCCATGTATGAGAGCTCATTTCCCACGTGATAGCGGATGCCCTAACTGTATTACACTAAGTTACTAGTATGTTAGACCAAACCCTACAACTTCAACAATGATATCGAAAATATGAGTAAATGAAAATGCTTTTGCGACGATGAATTCGACTTTCAGGTATAATGGTGTCGAGTTTTCTTAAACACGAATTGTTTGAGACCCTGGGACTTGATGAGCTTCTGGTGGGGCATGCAATTCGCGCGACACTCTGTGACTCGGGTCTCCAGATCTGAAACGTCCGAGGTGAATCTTAGCGATACGCAACAAGCCTAATTGCTGTCTCAATGAGTTCTCCTATTGGATTGTAAATCCTTTTTGCAAAGACATCTTTCTTGATTTCAGCCTTTGTGACTCTGAGTGTTTGGGAGGCGCAGAGTTTGGTAATGATTACGTCGACGATTAACAGAGCTGATCAGGCGTTGAAAGCTGCTCCCTTTTCGTACCACAAAGTATATTTGTTCAATTCAAATGGGCCGAGAGCTGATATACATTCCATCGGTATCTTCAGAAATGATAGCAACGATCTCCATACGTTTATAGATTCAAACTCTGAATGGCATGAGTGCTCCATCCAGAGATCGGATTCCATTCAAACAGGAGTATTCTCTAACATGAACCAGCCGCAGACTTTGTATAACTCCTTGTTTTACTCCTTCAACGTCTCTGATAACTGGCTTCTCTGGTTGTCATTTCTCCTCAGTTGATCCCTAACGGTGGCTGTATCCAAGGTTCCCCGCAAGGGGGCATTTTGTCATGTCTTGCAGCACCATCCCAGAGCTGGTCTAGACAATATTTTCTCCATCACCTGTTGGGACACCTAAATATTTCATCTTTCCAATTTTTGGAATTTGCTCCTCTACCCTTTTCTCTTCGATTCGGACGACTTTCGAGCAACAGAGGAACAACAGCAAAATTTCCATATTCCCGGGAAGCAAGGTCAATCGGATACGAAAGCAGCAGAAAGAAAAGACTATATGACGCCGAATCCTCACTCTGCATCCGTCAGCAATTGCATCTGAAGTCGATTGTTCTTCCAACCTTCTTGTTCAAAGGATTGGGTTCGCAGCGGAACTAGAGCTTTACTTTGGACGTTTACCACCAATTGTGTTCTATAAACCTCGATTTAAAACTTTTCTGTTCACCTCCTAGGATTTGTTTTGTCCTCAGGTCGCAGTATATTTTAGGCAGCTGGTCTGTTTACCTCGATTTCAAGCCGTGTCGTCATTATCGGGTCAAAGTGACTGCCATACTCTCTGCTGTTTGTGGGTTGCTGTCTGCCTTTAACCACACATATTCTCTCGGCTGGTTTAAGGGGTAAAGGTCAATGATTGCCAGAACGATGCCTTCTGTAATTCAACACGCAAAAATTGGTTCGATTGGGTCTACTACCGACCAAGGAAATACTCTCGGGAAACTACCATCTTCCAATGTGAGATCCAGAGCCAATGGCTGCAATAAGTCTTCTCGGGCAAACGATGTTGCCGAAAAGGGGCTACAGGATGATGTTGAAAGTTTTTTTACGTACCGAAAAACCAGAGCAAAACATAGAAACTTAGACAGACGGCATCTCGGTGCATGCAAACCGGAATCAAATTCACCTAACCTCGAGAGCAAGAGGGGAATTGTTAGAAAGCGCCAAAAGGAAGTTGAATCCGAGACTGACAGCGAAGAAAGCCAGGATGACGAGGACGATTGGGATAATGATGGTGACGACACCAGTGAGGATGAGGGCAAGGAGGAGGAGGAAAAGCAGCCCAAGCCAGCTACTTCCAGTGGCGGAATACTGCTTGGTGGAGGCAGCCCTACCCACACTGTAGGACCAGAAGCCAGCTCACGAGCAACTCTGGGCTCTGAAGCCATTATCCCACTTCCCTCGAAAGGTGGTTTTGCTAGAAATCCTGCGCACCTAGCAGTTTTAATAACAGGGATAGTAGGTAAGTAAATTTAAGAATTCTGCCCCGTGAGAGTTTAACATGTTTTCATTTAACATGTGCTTGCAACTAGTTGCCGCAGTCATTATTATATTTTTTGCGACCTGTATGATAATAAGGTCTAAAAGACGCCAGAAACCTGGAGGGCTTTATAATCGATATCAAGGCCTGCGTCGAAATCTCGGGTTTGCCTCGCAAGACACCCTTGTCAATGGGGACTATAAAACTCTTCATATGGAAAAAAATATCATGAATACGGACGGTCTACCAGACTGGGATCCAGCATCAGGATTTGCAAAGCCATCTGAACCGCCTCTCAAATCGAAACTACGCAACTCCCAAGAAAAGCACTCCTCTATACTTCGGAAAGTCCTCACTGGCAAAAAGTCAAGCATCCCCCACATCAATGCCAGACCTAAATCTCTTGTGTTACGAGTGCGCAATTCCGCATTTGGACTCCCCAAAATAGTGCCAGCCTACGAGGAAATACAGCCTCTCACCAAGGCTCACACTGTCGATTCTAACAGGTCTTCCCTGCTTGAACAGGGCCATGAAAATGGGAACACCCAGAATATTCTACCTCCGGTCTTCACATCCAAATTCTCGTGGACAAATACACCGTCAACAAACACGTACACAAATTCAGCTATGTTTACACCAAAGCATTTACACCCTGCACCCAAAGCCGATGACAACGATGCAGCAACTGTATTCACAGAAGATACGGAACCTCCACGCTTCAGAACCACTACGAGTTGGGTGCTGCAACAACAGGTCAAGAACCAGCACCAAACCCATTCGAACCCTGATATTCCCAAGCCACCACCTAGCGATATAGATTCCTCCATTTCGGAGGACTCACGGGTCCCAGATGGGGCTTTACCAGGGCTTGCAATATGAAACAACATTCATGAACCTCACCTTCCAGAATATAACTTCGGTTTGAGGCTAAGTGGTGCTGATATTTTTTGGATATTGCTCGAGGTTTCTGCAATTTATGTTTGTATCAATCACTATGTCAAGAACGTCAAATATTATTTAAAATTGGGAACGATGAACAAAAATAGTAGATTGAGTCGGATAATGCTTTAAGTATGTCCAAGTTCTATGTCCAACACCACATAGTACACATTTTCGCGATGCCTTCCTCTTCCGCTTTGTGTCTTATCCATTCGATTTCACGTGAATTCGGTTGTTGTGGGACAAGCTGAAGGCCCCCCGGGTTACTATTCAAAATGTCTTGCTGTTCTTGCACTTTTTTTCCCCTTCCTTCGGTCTGTTCCGCATTTCTGATGTCTTTCATTTACTTTTCTGTTTTTCAACAGCTCTTTCCCGCAACTAATACGGGAATTGAATACAATTATGTGATATGATTGTCTACTTTGTATATAACCGTGCTGGGACAGGGAAATATAGGTTTCCGTTTCCTTGTTGCTTGTATCTCTCAACTCCTTTCCGCTGTCACACTCAAGTTATTATATTGCATACCTGATGGACTTTGTGAAAAAGAATAAGGAGTGCAACGGTCTCAAAGCAGCTCAAAGGACACCTCCTCTCTGCGATAAATTAAAGCACAGTCCTGAATTGAATGAGCCCTCTTGATCTATTGCAATATTTTCGCCGAGCGTAGACCCATGATAGTGTTTTGCTCTGATATATGCATATTTGCGTCTGTGCAGCCGAGCCATGAAGTGTTCTCATGAGGATTTGCATCTCTTCTGACACCATCAGCTTATATTTATACACAGAGATAAATCTGACAGCTCATACTCGCCGTCCGTGCTCAGGGGATTTATGCCAAGTTTCAGTGCCACGTTTCCAGGCTCTCAGCCAGTTCGCAACTGTGAGCCACCATCAGCAGCCACTTTTGCATACACAGTAAATTTATCATAGGATAATAAATTTAGCACCTTGGGGGCCGCTGGACGAGCCCGTGTCCAAAGGTATTTGGGCCATGAATGAAGAGTTAGCGAGACAAGCAAAACATGCTAGTTCACGGTTGCCAAAGTAATATAAAATGGAATCAGTCGGAGCTTTTAAAAGGGGTTGGTAAGTTGAGTAGCTAACAATAGCTACCCCCGCATGCAAAACTTACATTATTCCTCAGCTCCCAACCCCAACTTAAAAAACAGATAAAAAACTCCTCCAACAAGACGCCGATGATATCTGTCTGCAAAGAGGAAACTGCCATACCAAGGGAACAACAGAAGGTAATTATTATGACTGATGTATATTGTATAATCATTCCGGTTGTTGCTCATCCTTCCTAAATAAGTTATTTAGTTCATATTTCATCTACTTGATATTTGCAATCGTTGTGTGAAGGCCCAATGGGAATGCAGAATTATATTGAGGTTCCAAAGCAGGAGAAACGGCGTTGCCTCATCAACAATTTCTTTCTAGTTGCAATGATACCCAGCCCACATTATTTAAAATATATAAATAGCTGATATCTTTATTTCCACTTCAAACGTAGCTATTGCAAACAAATCCGAGATACCAATAATGGGATGAGTGGAAGCGGAGATAAAAAGCCATCAAACACCTTTCTTTTTTCACCGTTCTTTTATTGGTTTCATTCTATCCATCTCACTGTGCTTATCGACAGTGAAAGCCACACAAAGGTTATATCCGAGAGAAATATAGATATTATTGGAACCACTCCTTTCTGAGGCTTTATGGCCCCCAATTATATGGCGTGCACAATTCTGGCTGACGAGCATCAAAGATATTCCAACACTAAAATAATTCCATAAAAACTTTACCATAGTTAAGGTTAAAGTTAGGTTTCCATACTGTGATGTCAGCTAGATAACAGCAAGAATAGTAATTTTGAAGAGAGCTAGGTGCCCCGTATTTCACAAGACACTAACACACTCAATTGGTGTTAAGATTCCCGTCGTCAAAAGATAAGAAGTCAGAGGAGTGTCCAATCAAGTCGGGTTCAATTTTATTAATACTCCACGAGGTACTAAAAAGGAATCACAGTGCATCTAGATGCATAGTGATATCGGACCGAGAATTAAGGCGTCTCGTGTAGAGTATTTTGCCAGTTCAATTTGGAAAACGTGGATCCAGCTGACATTGACTAGAGTTCCCATCAGTCGGGTCGTGGTAGGTTTTCCCAATATGAGCTAGGCTGGCCATTTTGGCGTGTCTTTGACAGAAGTTTCAAGTCGTAAAAGAATAGTGGTATTGGGATCACAGCCTGTTAGAGCATATTAGTCAGTATACTTAGCGAGGAGAAATGTATTCCAACTATTTCCATTTGAAAGCGGATTCGGTAGCTTCCTTGTCGTTGATCAGGGTTCCGGCTGCGCAACTGGATATCAGGGTTTTTAGGCGACAAGAATTGGTTCCAATTAAATGCCAGCCATGAGCCGAGCAAATATGGTTGGGATATTTGCAGGGAATGGAAATCACGAGTTGGGGAGGGGCAGCAAGGGCGATAGAGTATATGAGATTGTTTGATCATTGGCATCATCCAACGCCTGAAGGCGAATTCAGTGCGAATACAAACGTGCTTTTGACATCTTAAAGACGGGTTATACCACCAAAATGGCTATTGCCAGTAAATAGGAATGAATGAAGCCAAATCCAAGTATGTGTTATTATGCTGGTCCCCATAACTTTTCATTCGTTGACACATGAAGCTTGAGCCCTGAATTTCGGCGATCTAGTGTAAATCACTCAAGACGAGAAATCCAAGGAACTCACTGACCGAATCCCCACCATCATTTCCCTTGATAACGCCCCTAGAAACAAAAATATAAAAGAAATTTAAATTCCAGCGAATGATCACAGCAGGACTTTGCAGTCCGTGGTAACGCCCCACAATGTATACCCAATAATGAAATAGAAAAATAGTTCGTGAACGATTACAAGGAGACCCCTGCTTAGAAACCAATATTAACCCATGAACCGCGAGTATTGATAAGTCATGGGTTAAATAACTTGAAAATTTGGTATGATATAACCGAGGAACGTTCCTCGATTGTATCAAGCGGCTAAGAGAAAAAATATATAAAAAAAAGAAAAGTAGAGATAAAGGGAAGACAGATAAGAAGTTGGATAAGTTCATGATTCGCGAAAGTCTGCCATACCTGGATAATCGATTTTGGAAATTAAAGGCCGTCCTCAGTAGTAGTATTTCCTTAGCCCAAATAACAGCGGATGGTAATGAAGTGGACTTGAAAATGGGTTGAATCCTAGAGTTTGCAAAGACGACATTGGCCGACAACCACGATAAATCTTTCGTGGGGGCTCCCATCGCATCGGGTCCCGCTAGAACCATCGGTCGAAATACGGAAGAAATGGTTTCCTGGATCCCGACAGGCGCTGTAGATGTAAAAATTTTTGAAGAAGTTGCACATTGCAATAGGTTTGATAGGGCTGAGGCGAGCTAAAACTTCACATCCTTTAGTCAATTGAAAGTCTCTCTCAAGTATTACCAAAGAGAGATTTAGCCCAACCTAAATTTTCAGCGAGCTAATGACGATTTGATAGAAATAGCAACGGTAAAAATAAAAAGAACAGAACAGAACAGAAAAAGGAAAAGGAAAGATATCCCGCAGAAGAGGATGTTTGAGGACATACTTTTCTCGCTTGGTAGGGTCTTATAGATGCATTGAGCGCGAGGGCGCAACTTGGTTACATCTCAAGGTGGTCCCAAAATTCCTTCTAGCAACAAACAAGAACGATAATCTTCACGGGATTAACCAGGATAATGTAATTATATTGCTGAAAGTTTGTTGAAAAAAGCAATATGAAGCTTCGAGAGTTTGACAGAGTAAAACTATCTCCCAGTCGATTCAGCAAGGGTTGTGGACGATCGAGAAGGGCTAAGGCTAAGGATTGACGATCCAAGGATATGTCAGGGGAGCCACAAGAGAAAAGTGGCTGTTTATTTATATTCTGGCACGAATAACAAAAAGAAATTATCGGACAATGGAAACGAGAAAACCTTGTAGGGCTCAGGATAGCTTGCATTACTGGTTCTATAGGAGAACTGCAATGTATTCCTGCTATCTAGGACGTTTAAAGACCGGAGATTTCATTGACTCAGACAGTAAATTAAGTTTACCTGAAACCTCGGGGCAGAAATCCAAATATGCAAAGCTTTGCGCGAAGCGTGTTGACGGGGCGTTGCATCAGCAAATGTGAAAGTCAAATGTGCAAAGGCCGAATGAAATTGATAAATATGGCAATCAATGGCACGGTACATGAAGGACAACCGAAGTCGGCTAGGTCAACTATCCGGACGAACAGCATCAAAAGAAGCCATGCTCTGAAGATGTCAAAACGGGTCCGTCGAGTTCCCTAGTTGTTCCAGAAGCTCAAACGTGTATACTGATACCTGGTCAAACTAAGACTGATTGATACAACAACTCCATAAGGCATGGAGAGCAACGGAAGGGTCCGGGCCTCGAGCCCAGATCAAAGACAGGGATTTCCTTCCTACCAGGAGTTGTGATGTCAAGGTGTCAAACCCTTGGGAGGGATCTACAGCGTGCTGACGATGATAAGCCGAAACAAAAGGCGTTGTTGGCTAACCAAATTTTTCCATGTTGAGACGCCAGGATTTGTATATTTAGCCGTTTGAAGGCTTGGCTATAGTAGCACCTGCAGGGTCGGAGCGTGGTCCTTCATTATTTGAGACCTGGCGGAAATAACTCGAATTCGTATTGGAACAAAGGAGAGAAACATACTCCGTACTCAAGGTGACAATCATTAGAAACAAGGAACCCCAAATTTATCACGGAAGAAGAGGGAAACTTGGGATTGACACCATGAGCATCTATCAACATTATGATAATATTTTTCCTTCTGCTTCGAAGCCATTTTAAACATTCGAGACACTAGTCCATATTAGGAATAGTTACTTATTTTTAGATTCCTTGTAGCGTTTGAGGATCCGCACTAAGCCCAATTCTGCTAGACTAGGTATTTGTCATCCCCTTCAGGCCCAGCCCCAAAAGAGCAATTTCCAACGTCAACCTTGAAACATCGTCCTGCCAACGCTAATTGACCTACAATTTTCTATCGCTGTCGTTCATTACCATCATCGTCCTTCATTATTATTGACAGGGCGTATTTAACTAAGTCGTAAAGACTGTAATCCGGGCGCAATGACCCTTGGATTCTGACCGTCTCTGTTTTCTGCCATTCTGCTCGTTCCCCCGCTCTTTCGTTCGCTTCGACATCTTCGCAAACGCCGATATACCCTACCTCCTTTGTCCTGACTAAGGTACACATCCGTCTGCGAGTTCGCAGTCCGATCTCCGTACATAATGGGCTTCGGCGACTTTGATTTCATATGCCGCAAGGCATCCATCCCAATATGCTCTTTGGTCGGTCCTCCGTCCACCATGAGAAGCAGCGGCCGGGGCTTTCTAGCCAACTGCTATGCCAGGAATATTGAAGTCGCAAATACAATCATTTTTCAAGGAGCCACCGACGTTGCGCATATTGCTGCTTTAGCAATGACAGTGATCATGGTAATCCATGTCCGGTCTAAATTTACGGCTGTGGGTACGTATGGAGCTTCTCCGGAAATTGACAATGGGATGATCCAGGAGAAGATTGAACTCTAATACGGGTTTTGACTCCATTTTAGGTCGAAAGGAAATTATCACGTTCTTCTACCTTTACATGGCTTTGACGATGTTTTCACTTGTCCTTGATTCCGGCGCTGTTCCCCCTGGAAATGTCGTCTTCGCCTACTTTGCCGCCGTGCAAAACGGTTTAACATCCGCCCTCTGTACTTGCTTACTCATCAATGGGTTTGTGGGATTTCAGCTCTATGAGGATGGGACGACGCTATCAGTCTGGCTTCTTCGACTAGCGTCGCTGGGAATGTTCGTTATTTCGTTCGCCATCTCCCTCCTAACCTTCAAGGGATGGGCTGGTCTGTCACCGACCAGTACCGCCGGACTCTTCGTGGTCTTGTATATTGTGAATGCAATTTGCCTGATCATCTATATAGTGATGCAAGTTATTCTTGTCGTGAATACTTTACATGATCGATGGCCTCTGGGCCACATCGCCTTTGGCACATTCTTTTTCATCATCGGGCAGGTGGTTTTATATGTCTTCAGCGAAACCATTTGTGAAAACGTTCAACACTACCTGGATGGCCTTTTCTTTGCAGCTATTTGTAATCTTCTAGCAGTTATGATGGTGTACAAGGTATGCTAATTTGCCATTTTCTTCCCATTTTACCCTCGGTTATTATCGACCTGGTTGCTAACATTCGGATAGTATTGGGATTCCATCACGAAAGAAGATCTTGAATTCTCCGTCGGTGTCAAGCAGAATAACTGGGAGGTCAAAGAACTTCTAGAGGATGAGCGACGGGGTACCGTTTATCATGACACCAACTCTGAATACGCAAGCAGCTTGTATCATTATCGAAACTCTACTTACGGAAGTGGTCCAACAAATTACTAAAGCCATCGAATTGAAAATAAACAGTATATTGTCATATTCTCATTCTATATATGTCTTCACATCGCTTTAGCTCCCTTACTCTAGAAGGGTTCCTTACATCTCCGTTCAACATGGCCGTTCTAATTTAATTTTCCTACATGTTTTCTAATTCAACGACCTTTCAATGCTTTGGTGTTCTATTTGGGTTACAGTTGGCTACCGCTTACGTTTCTTATTTCCCCAAAACCTTCAGGTGGACTAAAGTTGTTTGAACTTATGCATACTTCCCCTTTCGAGTCCTTTTTTTTAAACTCTCATTCCCATGTCCTTTCATATATTAGCGAGGCATGTCATCGATATATTTAATAATGTATTGTTCTCTTTGATATTTTATTATTCATGCCTAATAGATATTAATGCCACACCGCGCTCCGTTTGCAAAAGCTGCCTTTTTCTTTTCTGTTCTTAACGGTTCGCTCTTGTTAGTTCGCTCCTGTTGCATGCTCATTGAAATGAAATACGTTGCTGAATTCACATTATATACTCTCCAGTCATATTTCTTCAAAATTATACAAATACGATGGTGGAGCAATTTCCCAGGTGTTGAGATTTATCGAGTCTTATATATCATGATCAGATTTGGACTACATGGCGCATTTCAGGAGAGATCGAATGGAATCAGGAGAAATCTCGTTTTCCGTTGAGATGAAGTGAAAGAATTAGAGCCCCTTTCCATAAGACATATCACGGCTTTAAAGATCAATACGAATTTATCGGAAAAAAAAAAAAAAAAAAAAAAAAACTCATGGATATAGAAACGTACTGATAGCTCCGTCTTCGTCATCCATCTTGCCTCTTCGTGCAGCATTCAATAGTTTATTCCCTGCTCCTCTTACAAAAGTACACCATAACGCCCTCTCTAAACAAATTTACTACCGACATTGTGAGTAAGGTATTAATACCCGTCACAAACTCGTTCTAATCAACAAGAACAACATCATCTTCGCTTTCCACGAACTCTTTCTCTCTATCGTAGTCACGGCTCGAATCTCGACCGTTGTCGTTTGGATTACTGCTGCTACCATCACCACTACAAGCAGGAGTAGCATACAAGTACCACCCTCTATCAACCCATTCAATCAACAGTTCGCAAGCCTGCTGCGCCAGATCATAGAAAGACGGATTTTCCAAGGGGGAAAACATGCTCATGTGTGCTTTTGTTTCATCAGTTGCTTTATCATTTGTAGCTTTGATCCATTTGATCCCCGACATATCGCTGTATTTCGCCTTGACATCATCTTTGTTTTCACCTTCATCAACATCTGCCGGGAGGTTGCAGAATGTTCGCATCTTTGAGCGTAATATATACCGACTAAGAGACGAGGCCGGGGACGATGTGCTGGTACTGCTATTAGCTGGCGCAGCGACTGCTCCCTTCCCTAAACATGTGTAAAAATCCGCGCAACCAATACCTCGCTCCTGCTGCAGCTTTGCGGTCGCTGATACGCGTCGTCGTAGTTCTTCAGGCCGCGCGAGACAGCCTACAAACTCTAAATGTGAGGTAGCCCAGCTCCAGCCTTCTAGAAATTTGTCGCGCTGGGAGTATAATGCTGCTGCTCCGCCGGCTGCAACGGCGCCTGCAGCTCCCGCATACATGGCATACCGCCCCCAGCGCTGCCAAGATGGAGTGGCGGCTGCATCATCTGTGGAGGAAGATGTGTTTGAAGTACTCGTAGCAGGAGTAAGGGCGGACGCAGCAGATTTTGTATTTCCGTCTGTTGAAGGAGTGTTTCCAGTCTTATTTTCGCTTGTTTTGGCACCTCCCCAGCCAAATACACCAGCTACCTCCGAAATCGCCCCGTATGCAGCAGTGGCCGTTTTATAATGATTTTCAGCCGTGTATGAGACAACTCCGGGAGCGATACCGAGGAATGGAGTGTCAAATGCAAGTAGTCCTTGGATGTGAGGAAACATGAATGTGTTAGCTTCTACCGGATTGCCCTCTGCCTCTGACGTCTTTGACGATGAAATACTTGACGGGGTGGGCAAGAGCTGTTCCGACGCCAGAAGAAGGAGGGTCTCCGCGGCAACAATTCCACCCATCGAATGGCCAATTAAAAAGACATGTACAGACGGGTCAACGGTGGGAGAAGGTGTTCCATTTGCGACTTCCACGTCGATAACCGTATTTTGGAGCCTGCGCATATTCAACATGTGAGATACCTTTGACCTCTCACAGAAATCATTTGAAATACAAACCGCTAGGGAACGAACCATTCTCGAAATCTGACCACACATCCGTTCAAATCCCCCTTCGTCTCAAACTTGGGGTAAACCACCGCAGTGACTTCTATATTCGGCAGCGCATGACTAACTAAAGCGCGAAGATGGGCAGGAAAGCTCCCAAACGTATCGTCTCCGCCCTAATGATTGCGCGGTTAGTATTACCAAGGCTCCTCGAATCCCTTATACGCGGCGGCATCGCGAGGATGGCACACCTTGAAACCGTGGATAAATACCAAAAGAAGGGTCCTCTTCATGTTCCCCGTGAATCTCGGAACATATTCTTCATGGCTGACGATCTTGAACGAGGCAGAGTTCGGTTATTATGCAAGGGTAGGGTAGCTGTGGTCCCTCTAAGCCTTTCTCGCCGCGGTCAAACCAACCTTGGAAACGAGGCAGTTGTCAGCTGATCTCGGGCAGGACGACGATCTACAAAAGAAATTTTGAACCATATCCATGGATCATAGTTGCTACTGAAGCATTACGAACAATCATTCTAAAATATTTCTTTATTATCCAAGAAGAAAGAATATCCCAAGATATTTTTCCGGGAAAGGGGTATCGGGGAGACCACTCTTGGAGCCCTGTCTAGGCCTGACATGCTAGAAACGGTCTTGGTGCAGGGGAATAAGGGACAAATACCAATGATAAAAGTCAAGTGAAACGAAGGATCCTGGTCCACACAACAGCTGGCCCAACTGGGATGTCAGGCAGGGTCAAAGAGCTCTTCCTTGTCCTGAAACCATCCATCCTTAGGCGATCGTCTGCTTCAGAAACCGCTCTTGAAGCACCTGGTTCTTCTCCCCTGATTCCTCAATGACACCTCCTCGCTCATTCTACCGATCTCTTCTCGCCAGTAATTGACGATGGCGGTAAAGTCGAGGCATGCGGCTGCAACTGTCATAATGCTGTTTCAATTCATCCTCCATAAAATCTACAATTCTCGATCTGACTTTGAAACGAAGAAGCCATTGAGCTGAATAAGTGCGCGTCAGCGTCACCAGTTTGACAACGGGGTTTTCAAATAGGCAAGGATGTCAAGCTACAATCACCGTATGTCACCGTTCACTGCTGGTCAATGGCCCTCCTGATTTTAGTTGTTACCACACGCGGTTGGGGGTAAGATCTTTGTCATTGTAGACATCTATCAAACTTTACACTCTGAGTAGCAGAGGTGTGGTGCACATGGTTTCTTGGGTCTTCTGGCAACTGAAAACGGACAATTGTGAAACATGTTTCAAGCAAAGAGCAATATGCGGTGTCAGGAATCACACCATGTAGAAGTCTGTTATAAGGAGAATCCTCTGAAGAAGGATCTTCCAACCCCTTCTGTGCACTCCAGTTCACGTTTCCCAACAGTCAAGAAGAGTAACCCCCTTTAAGGTTCCGAATGAGGGAAGTAGAATGCTGAAGAGCTTCTTTTCAACTCCGAACCATCTTAATAGCCACAATGTATCGCTCTCGCTTTGTTGAAGTCAACCCATTTGATGTCTAGGAAAATGCCATGGGCAAACTCCATGACGATGTATTCAACCCCAACAGCAAATGATTGCCGTTTGCGGAGAATGATGTGGTATGGAATTTTGACAAAAGACCTTAAAACAATCATTCATGGTAAGGAGGGAAAACTTGATGAAATCCACCCTCTGCAAGTTTCATCAAATTGGTCTCACTGCCACAACCTGTGTGGTTACAGACAGTTTCCTTGGGCGATGCGACATCAAATTCAATAAATATTTCCTCAAAATTCTTCTATTCCTGTAGATGAATCACCCTACACGTAGGAGGAGAGTGTCCGGCTGGCATTTGATTCTGCCGATCCAGGCAGATAGGATTGAAACTCATGAGCTGAAGGCTCAGATCCTATGTGGCGCAAGTTATTGGATGTATACAAGTCGAGGGTATTTGATTTGAAAATTTTATTTGGTGGTCTGAGGCTGATTTCACAATCGTTCGCGCTACCCGTGGGCATACCTTGTCTTGGTCCTTCCATCAAACAATTTCGTTATTGGATAGACTGGAGAATTAGGAGAATTATCCGAAGATGCTGTACAACTTACCTCTCCAACAGGCACAGAGCAGAATCCATAATTACATAACAATAAACGAAGAGAAAACAAAAAGAAAGAGAACCGCTTTTAGGCACGAACATGTAAAACGAAAGCCTTCCCGACTGTCTTTGATCCATGGATGCCACTGGGCATAAATGTGACCGCCATTGGCAACCTTAAAGGCAACTAGCCGGTATGGTGCCACTCGTGCCCCAAATATCTCAAATCGGAAGTTCTTCCGCCTGCCCACGACTCCCGCGGCCGTTATGATAGCTGGTGGTTACCCGTAGCATGTCCATTCTCATCTATCCTTTGGAGCGCCATCATTTGATGAATGGATATTTAGGCGGTGCGGAGGGTGCCATTGGAGATTCCTCATTTACTTCATCGCTTGCAATTCGCACGGATCCATTTATAGGTGGGCTTGACATGTTTCGAGGACTTCTCCTTTTCTATGCCGAAAGCATGGGAAGAAGGATGTGAGGTATGAGAGGCCATATATAATTCCTTTCCAGTTGAAGTAGGCATCTATGCGATAATGATTGATCTCTAGACATAAGTTAAAAGCAAATTTGAATACCTTCTTATGTTGACACGCTGTGATATTGTTCCCGAATCCCGAAATCCTCTAGATATGCTAACATAACAAAAATATGGATATCATTGAATTTGAGAAAGTGTAAGAAAATATGTTGCCACAACAATAAGTAAGACATTCTAAACGACAATCACGCTAAGATTTGTCGCAGGATTGAATGGAACCTGTTTGACCTGAGCAAAATTTACCTGGTGGCCGCGCAACTGAGCAAGGGTTGGTCGAACAGCGCGTTGCTGAGATAGCAGAGCCAGATCCCTTGGGTTGGTTGTGTGCTCGTCAGAGTTGCGGCCCATGCTTTGCATGGCGCTAGGATCAATCGCCCCACCTTCCCTTATGAAGGGAAAAGTGAACTCTGAATAACAAAAACGGGCGTTAGCAGCACCCTCCCCAGGCTCAATCAAATAATGTACATACATATATGGTCCTCAAGGGCGGTAGCTCTTTTTAGATCAAGGGAGAAATTGTAGCTGAGACTTTAAAACATACCATAGCGACACACCGCATCAATAAATACCGGGGATATTCTCCAGGCTCTTTCATCAGCATCTATTTGGTGCGGGACGCCCGCCTATAGCTCATGTCAATTGGAAACCAATAATATCGGATGGGAAACAAACCGTACCTGCCGGTCGTCCTGTTGGCTATCTCGATAAAACTCGGTTGTCCCACCGAACAAAACAAGTTCGTAAAACCGACCAGACTCGCCTACAAGTCGTGTTCCAAAACCAGGAGCTGTGATTTGGGGAGGCGTATTTACACGCCCATTGGTCATGTAGGTGATGAATAGGTGAGCACCTGCCTCATGTACTATTGTTGTAGCAAAGAGGAACTGGAACATGCGAAATCGGTGGATCTGCTCTGGCCTCTGGGCAGCATATGTCATATCTCGCACCCTCTAAAGCAAAATTTTGAGAACAGTCCTCTTTGTTGTTGATCAGCTAAAAGACTACTTACGGATCCATTGAGGTGAATACCCTGGGCGCGAGGATTAAACGATTCACGGGCCCCTGTCCATACGGCCCTTTCATGGTATCCCAAGCAGTCTTGGGTGTGAATGGTGTCGTCCACAACAACTATGGGAAAATTCAACCGAAGTAACTGCAGAAAGGGCCGAACAAACAGATATGCCGCTTCTGCATCTTTGCTGAACATACAGGAACCGAGTCTTTGATCGTCATAGCCCAATGCTAAATCACGCAAAGCCGCAGTGCCTTGCTCACTTTCAAGCATGGCTAGTGCAATAGAGATCGCCGAAGCAATGTGGGCGAACTCAATTGAGTCGGATGGGTATTCCGTAATGCGTGAGCCCTGCGTTGGACGTGCGGCAATGATGAATGTCCGAGTGTCCATCATTGAAATAAAGTAAGATCAGAAATATGAAGCCGTATTCAAAGAAGCTGGACTGGAGCAAGCCAGGCAGGCCCGAAAAAGCAAGAGTCTGCCTACCACGAACGATACTAGTACGCAGAGAGTGGATAGCAATTTTGCAAGGAGCGAAAAGCTACCACTCTACATGTCGTTGAGTGAAAGCATTACTTGATCCTCAGCCAGAGGCAGAGCTGTCTCACATGGGAGTAACTCGTTGATATCCTGTCGTGTTCTGGCAGCTTGGATGCAAATATCAGGCCTGGGCGCTTAGAACTGGGCGTCAATTTGGCGATTATCCAATTAGAGTTCGATCCCGCGGCTAGAGCGTCACATGATGACTTCGCGCCTGCATCTCATCACCAAGAGCTTGAACACGAATAGTTTTTATTCGGCTCACTTGTGTTTGGACCCCCGATATCTCACCTCATGGCGGCTAGCTCGGCACAGATACCAGCGAGCGATCTCGGGCCTGAGCACTTTGTCGCTCTGGAACAAGCCATATTGAATGTTCTATCTACAAGGCTTGCCTTCGAAACGTTTGCGCAGGTTGTCGATGGCATACCCACCCGTGACGCTTACTTTGAATACTATTTACCCACGCCACGACCAGAGTATTCTCAGAATCTGATGCCAAGTGACAAGGCGAGAGAAATTGTCTGGGAATATCTTCGGCGCTTCCATGTTGGCGGTGTAACGTTTCCCGTCGATGTTAGTGATGTTTCTTTACATTCTTCTAGATAGATGCTCTCATATTTCAAACCCCAGTTTAGTCGTGCTTATCGTGAGTTACAGCGTGCACAAGCATACCAGGATGCCTCTCTCGTGTCAAGTAGTTTCAAGCTGCGCATGTTCGAACTGGTTGCAATTGCCTGTCATAATATCGCAGCAGAACTATACACCAAGGCAGGAGGAGGTCTCAGAAAGCCAGCCTGTCCTCCACCACCACCGCCTAGCAGCCATCCGCTAATTCGGCCCGCCCCACCAAATATAGCTGAGCTATTTCACGATGAGTACGAGGAATGGAGGCAGTATCCAAACGGTGTTGCAGATGTCGTTGGGTACTGGGCCGAGTATCGTCTATTCGGCGGCGTCGTTCTATTTGATCGCGGCACCACCGGTCAGGAGGTAGGTATAATAATACTAGCATCTCTTAGAACAAAGCGGTGCATCCCCCAGACCCAATTTTCTCAAGCATACCCCGTGAGTACGTAACGTAACGAAGTTCTCACAAACCCTCCCCCTCCCTCACAGTGCAAGAGCGCCTATATCCACCCCATCAAAGGGCGCAAGATATTTCAGCTTTCCGCCCAGCAGATCGAGGGGTTTACCGGGTTTGCCCTCTCGAAACATCCGCCCAACCATCTAGTCTCGTATGATACGCGATTTTTCCCTGAGCGCTCCGCCCGGCGCGTCGACCCGGTTGATTCCATGGCCCTACTCATATACCGTGACGTTTATGAGCGGAAACCTCCTGCTCCTGGGCGGCGACGATGCGTGCTCTATCCAGAAGATGATCCTGGGTTATTTGACCAAATTCAGAGACTTGCTTCCGGATAAAAAAAAAATTCACGACGCTCTGCTGGACTAATACCACACGGTGTGTGGTTATTTTAAGGTAATTTAAATGCTTTGCTTTGCTTGTCTCTGGCGATACTATTTCCACCGGCAGTCGTGTCGAGCGAAGAGGTTCTAAATTCATCATTGGTATAAACCTGACGAATGGATTCGTTGTTCAGCCGTACGCTATGGTCGAACTCCAGAATGAAAACAAGAAAGAAAGGGGAAAGGGGAAAGGGGAAAACTACGTCCAGGTCGGGAAGAGACGACCCGGTTTAGTTTCTGATTCAAATTGCCTTGCCCCGGTACGATATCGATCAACGAGGAATTATTTTTTTATGAGGCTGGTTTCTCAAACAAGTCCTCCCTTGGAAACTCCCACATGGTCCCTTTTATCATGGATATATAGATATATATATATCTAGTGGATAAGCGGAAACGAAAGGATCTTAGAGCCGGCTTAAGGCTGAGAACATGAATAAATGAATGAATCAAGCTTGCGGAGAGGGTTTTGATTTTGATTTTACTTTATTGTATTGTATTTTACTTCCACTTTACTTCTACTTTAACCAATTGATAAATTAAATTATTTTGAGAAAGTTTCTACTACATATATATACGTATGCAAAAGTATATGTATGTATGTATATATATATATACATATATATATATGACATAAGAGAAGCGGGGGAACGAAACTCCTGAAGGCAGACAGATTAAAAAAAAAAAGAACCTCTCAACACTGGTTAAGGAAAGCTCTTCCTTCTTATCTTATGCTACCAGCAAACAGACCAAGGTCTGAGATACGGCCCCCAACAGAACTCACGAGTCCGCTCCGTATGTGCAGCAGTATCTGGTGATTCAATGCTCTCTCTCTCTCTCGCGCGCGGAGCAGTTCCAGTGATACCCCAGAAGCCAAACGGAGGAATCCCGTAAAATACACCCCCAATACAAGGTGCATCTACAGCTACATCGGGATCTTCTTCTTCTTCTTCTTCTTCTTCTTCTTCTTCTTCTTCTTCTTCTTCCTGCATCATCTTCCCATCCATCCACGTCCTACATTGTGGATGTACGCGATGCTCCCACGTTCATACCCCCGAAAGCGCCGCCAGAATGAGAGTAATCCCACCTAAAAGACATATATATAAGTACCTTCATACATATCAATATACCACAGATAGAATCACATCTCAGCCCTTCAATTCACCATCTCAATTCAGATATGTACGGAATATATATGCGGTTGAATAATAATAACAATAACAGTATGGCAAGTTTAAGCCCACAGGCCGCCCCAGCCCCCCTCCTTCAAGTAGCAGCTACCACCCCGCTCAGCAAAACATGAAGAAACGGAAAGGAAAACCGCGGAAGAATTACGGCTGGAGTAATTGTGATAAGTAATAATAAAGAATCATAAATAATTTATAAAGTCGCAAAACTTCCCCCCAGCTAAAGATAAAATAAAAATAGAAAAATAAGTAGAATGCAGGAATGTAGGAAACAGCCCTCCCTGGGATGAAATTCCTATGCAAATCATTATGAAGTTCCTTAAACAACAAAAAAAAAGGGGGGAGGCAGAGAAGTGAAAAAAAGCCGAACGAATCGAGACAAGGATTCGAATATAGAAGAAAGAAACAATCAGAGAAAAGAAAAGCCAAAAATAACAACAATAATAATAATAAATACCCACAAAGATGGAATGGGAAACAAAAAAATATCAATCAAATAAAATGGTTAAAACCCATCTAAAGCGAAACTCCGATCCAATGCTCTGCTCTGGTAATGGTTTGAAATGGAAAAATGGTATTCGTCATCGAGTAAAAAGATTAGAAAAGAAAAGTCAAGTCAATAACTGGAGAATGAGTGGGAAATCGCGTTGTACAGCCTCGCCAGATACTGAAACAGTGCGGGAGAAAACCAGAGAACAAAAACAATACAGAAAACCGCCAAGTGTGTGCGCCCTTGACAAGTAGTCGCAATAAATTGGATCGTCAATAGTTATCTATGGGCTTCTTTATGTTCAGCGTTTTGGGATGGTTGGTTTCAACTGTTTCAATGAAACGATTGGGTTGGATATAGTGGTTGCCGCTGTTGTTGTTGATGATGTTGATGGTGGTGTTGCGGAAAGCTGGAATGCAGGTACGGTTGCGATTCACACCACATTTCACCGCTGTTGCTGTTATGGGAGTAAGGCAGGACGCCAGTTTTCCGCTCGGTTACGGCCTTCCCCAATGGCTGGTAGTGCATCTGGTCGAGCGGGAGATGACGAACGTGGTTCATGGAGGCGGATGGGGGAGGATACAGCAGCGTGTTGACTTGCCGAACGGGTCGGTAGGGGGAGTTTCTGTCGATGAAGGATGGGGAAAGCCGAGTGGGTGTATGTACAGAGTATGCAGAAAGAGCGGGAGATATAGCGGCAGAGGTTGAGGCGTACGATGGGCTTTGGCGTTTGGATTGGTCGGGATAGTTGGTAGAGTTATTAGGAAGGGTATGCGATATGGGAGCCAATGTTGTGGTTGGTGGAGTGCGTTGGCTCCAGGTGCTGACGGGTGGTGGGTACACTGTGGCCATGGCACGAGTGCACTGTGGGAAGTGGGGTTGGCTTTGCGATTGAGGGGCATATGGCGGGCCAGCAGGGTGTTGTTGCGCCAGTGCAAAATTGAGCCGTGGAAGTTGTGGCAGAGACGAGGGTAGCATGGGCATTTCTGATTGTGGAACGGATGGAATTGTCAAAGGTGGGATATGGCCTCCAGTGACAGCCGTCATAGGTGGAAGTGATGGAAGAGGCGCCAGGCCTGACATAGTGGATATGGCCATTTTCTTGGAAGGAGGTTCCTCTACTGGTCCATCCCAGCTTCGTTTTCGATGCAGACCCGAAGTTGAGTTTACATTCCATGACGACTGACGCGGAGATAAACTCGGGTGTCCCAAAATGGGCGCAGTCGCAGGTGTATATATCTGATGTCGTGGCGGTACGTATGATGGCAGACCGGAAGGCGAAGGTAGCTTAGGAGTTCGGACGGGGAGGTGACTAGTTGAGGTGGGAGTCGTGGGGGTGAGATGGGGAGAGGGTTGCATAGTAGTCGGTGTGGTGGGTTGCGCCTCGTTATCGAGAGGAAGTCGAGAGGCTTTGGCAAAATAGGCTGCAAAAATTCCGAGCTTCGTGTGCCACTGATCCCATTCCTCTTCGGTCACAAACAAGTTATATCTAACATTGCTCAGGAACTCAACCTCCATTATATGGATCTCCTGGACCGAGATACCTGATACTTCGGCCCAGGTCTTGTTCGTGTATGTATTGTCGTCCAGAACTATCACCCAATCAGTATCATGACATCAAACAGGTCCAACCAGTTAGAGGGTAGATTCAAAAAAAAAGGCTGGCCATACACTTATTTCCTATCATCAAAGCAATTGTCATCAGTCTGAATTCGCTTCCTCGTTTCCCTCTCACAACAGGGTTGGACTTCTTCAGGCGGTAGATGAACAGCAGGGCCAAGATGGCAACATTTTGGCTGACTTGGGTCGTAGAAAGGATTGTAGTTACCCATTTCCGAAAACCTATTGTTGGTATCGACTCCGGCGTAAGAGGTGGGATATGGTAACTCGGCGAAGATGAGGCGTTCAGGATGGCGTTAAGTTTCGACGCTTTTTCGAACCAGAACAGACATGTTATCTAGAAAAGATGAAAAGAGTACTCATCACGTTAGAAATGGCCGTCCAGAAAAGAAGAGATAATAGCCGTTTTCAAAGATGGCCAGCGGACACGACGTACCTGTGCAATAAACTCCGCGAGACTGCCCTTGCTATGATTTATGGACGATGGAATCTGCAAATGCGGAGCTATTGAATGGCTCGAGCTCTCTTTCTCTCGCGTTTCTGCCAGTGGCCCCTTAAAAAAAGGGGCCCGTGGTTCCCGGGACCCACCGGACCTCGAGCCCTTTTTTTCC